TCGTTAGCGCCCCCTACAGAGAAGCCCCCTGGCCATGTTTTGCCGATTTGCACCAAACTTCTGTGGCTGATGTATCAGGTCCAGACCTACAAAAAACCTCAAGCAGCGATGCCCTAAACCCAAGCCTTGCAGTGCTACTCTTATTGGAGGAGCCCCCTTCTCTTTCTAGACGTGCCAAACTGTTTTAGCCTTTTTCTGTCCTGGAGTTCTTTAAAGAACTTGATGGTTTTATCCAGTTTGTTATTAAACTTTTAATGAACTTATTGTGTTTCAGGTTTAAAGGCTGATTTTTGCTTTTTGAGTGAAAGTTTAAGAAACAAGATGGTTAATTGGGGTTTTAAACTTTTCTTTATGGTCAGAACAAACACTTGACATTCAAAACTATTATGACAAATCTTTTTTCAACAAAAATGCATGAGTAAAATTAAGTAAAATCTGTTTTTAGTCCTTTTTCCTCAACAAAACATCTTAATCGAAAAATTAAGATCACGGTTTAAATGACTTATATACAACATTTATTGAACATTTGTTATATTGTTATAACAGCCCTTATTTTAACATGTGTTCACCCCGCTAACGCATCCTGTTAGCGACCGAGCTAACCACGTTAGGAAGCTTATTTATGAAGTTGCACAACTTGAAATTAACATTTGTTAAAGAGGTGGGAATTCAAACCACATGAATTCAGATAAAATTTCACAATTAAGTAATCAGTTGCTTATAAAATAAAAAAAACACAAAGGGCTTTTTTTGGCTTCCATACCGTCTGTGTTATTTTGTCCACTCTGTGGCTGATACAGCAGCTCTCGGCAGATAAGGAGTTGTGTTTATCTGCTGACAGGGAACTCAAATACATTTTCTTTCCAAGGGCGCTCTGGATTAAGGTCAACTCCTGCAACAGTGTATATGTTGTGTGATAAAGAGACTCCACAAAGGACAAAAGTCACAAACAGACGAGTGTAAATAATGTTTTCGCCCTCGGTCGTCTTCACTGTGATTTATCAAAGAGACCAAACACTGAGTCTTTATAATGTCTTCTGGAGAAATGAGAAATATGTTATTGACAAGTAGATTTTTATTTTTAGATCAGATTTTCTTCAGTTTATCCCAGACCATTTTTTTGGTAACAATCCCAAACATGCCCGCGGTGAAGCCGTTGGGGGTAACTCCCAGCATGCATCACATGTTTATTCACGCCAGTGTCAGGATCTCTGCAGATGGATTATCTCCTGGCCGACAGAATCACGTCCACATGTGTTTGTTAGTGATACGAGCAGCGCTGTAATCCCACTCACAGCAATCCCCGGAAAAGCTGCTAGTTGTACCGTGTAGGTTTAAATTACTGCAAACCTTCAAGTGTGAGCTGAGGTTAGCCTAGCTTAGCACAAAGACTGGAAGTAGGGGGAAACTGTTAGCCTAGCTCCATCAAAAGGGAGAGAAAAATGCACCTTCCAGCATCTTCCTGATTTACAACCCCATCATGGTCAGTGATGCCTGCCAGGGTTTTAATGGCTTTTGCATAAATGAAGCTGTATTTTCATACTTTCTGATAACAGATTTCTGCCGGTCTGTTTGGTACGTTTCGGTATTGTTTGAATTGAATCTATTGCCGATTCCACTTATAGAATCTCGATTCTGATTCCAACCCCTTCACCACAGATCTTGTCTGCACTTGGTGACCTTCATGAAAAGGGAGAGAGCCATGGCTGCACTTTCACTGTTCACCGGGACATAAACACTGCACGTATAGAATCAGCAGGAAAAACACCCAAAAACTTTGATGACTTTGCCCCAAAATAAGGTTTAAAAAGCGTTTTTCCCCAGCGGTTATACTTTTACTACCCATGCGTGATAGACCCTGATGTCAGAGGAACCACACGATTGGTTTAATGTGTTTCCTGGCTCGTCTGGTAAAAAGCAGATAATTGGCTTTCTAGCTGGAGGGGAGGGAATTTGGCATTACAGGCTTTCCCCATAGAGTTGTATTGAGGATTCTTTAAGTGGCGTTCCTTCAGATTCACGCCGTGTTGAAGGAAACGCTTCGTCATGTTGGAGCTGCTTCCTCTCTCGCACCAAACCTCCTTTTTTAGTGAAGCTAAGCCAAAGGTTGGAGCGTTTGCTGCGGTCCGCCACGGTCCAGGACTGGAAACAGAAGGACTCTCTTCTTCATGTTGACGTTTTTTTACTTTTATTAATTAAGAACAGTTTCTTATGTACAATAACGGCCTGTCAGGAAACAAAGGTCTTCTGTGGGAAACTGGGATTAAATAAAATAACAAAGAACAGACAGAGGACGCAGGACAACAACAAACCTTTAAAACCAGACACAAAGAGACCGGATGAGAAAATAATTAAAGACAGATAAAGAAACAGGATAATAGACTAGACATAAGATAATAATAACACAGAGTAGACGATACAACAAATGGCACAATAGTTGAATAATGAAAACAATCACATAAAGCACATAAAGCGATTACAGGTTTCTGTAAACGAGCTGGTGATTTTGCCTTTAAAAGTGTCAGAGGTGACAAGACTGGAGAGTTTTATTGCGAGGTGACGTTAGATCAGCTTCTGGTCCTGGCATTTAAGAGACACTTTTATGAACTGTAAAATGCTCACTGCAGTTCAGGAGCTGAGATTCGCAGAAAGTTCGGAATCCGTCGATTTCAGCCACATTAAATCTGTAATTGTTGTGAAGCAGCTTCCTTCCTTCATGTCCAGGTGGAAGCTCAGAGACAAACAGGGAAATTATTACAGGTCGTATCAGGAGCCAGATTTCATGTCGTCACCTTGTTCCCGTCAGACAGATGATGCTCAGCGAGGAGTCGACTCTCCTGCTGTCAGATCTAATGAAAGGAACAGCTGATACCATCAGAGTCACCGGCCTGAAAAACACCTGAACAACAGGAAATCAGCTCCTCTGCTGCTCAGATCTGCTGATAGCAGAACGGTCTCACAGAGCTGAAAACACGCTGAAATGAATTAATCTCCGTTGGTCAGTTTCATATGTAATCAGTCAAACTGCAGGACGAACTGACACTTTAACACAAAGGAGGCAGTGAGAGTGGAGCGTTCCCAGCAAATACACAGAGCCAGTGGGTGGTTCAAGGTGTGTGGGAACATTAAGTGTCGCCATAAGTTATTAGTTGATTCAGGGAGTATAGTAAGGATGAGTAATTTCAGGAAATACACAGAGCCGACAGGTTCCAGGGATGTTAAAGTTTGTTCCCATTACGATACATGAAATCACAGCAGCTGTTGTGGTGACAGAAGTGACAGCAATATTTGTGAACCTGCTGATCTGTTTTCTGCAAAGGGTAAAATATGTGGACAGTGAAGGACGATGCCCTGCAGAGATCCAGTAATTAGACTCAAAAACAGTAGAAAATGTCAATGATGTCAAAACTCAACTCTGTTTGAAGGCCAATAAATAGAGGTGTGTCTTTGAAAATGTCATTCTTATTTCTACAGGTAAAGTCCAAATATTAGGAGCAGCTACAGAAAAGGCTCCGTTAGCTTTTAGTTTTTAACCTGGATCTGGGGACATCGAGGACCTCAGTGCTTTGACAGGAGTGTCTACATGTAAAAGTTCTGATAAATAAAAAGGGGTCAACCAATTTAAAATCCTAAAGAGGTGGTATTCTGCTTTATGGCTTTCTCTCTCTCCTTTATTGACTTTTTATACTTTTTCTGTGCATGTAACAGGTCTGCAAAGTGAAAAAGCCCAAAGGGAGTTCCCATCTCCCACAGAAAACTCTGCTCTGAACTGAAAACAGCTCGTTTGAAAGACAGAGCTCAGTTAAAACTTTATGGATACAGATTAATAACTCACCGCTCTGAAACTCTCGCTCCAGTCCATGTTGCCAAGCTGGTCGGCAACACGTACGGCTGAACCCGAGCCGTTTACCGGCTCCTCGCTGACCCGCCCTTCTCTGCTTCTGATTGGCTAGTAGTCCTTAACTAGGAACTGACCATGTGCAACTCCCAACAAAGATCATTTAGAGACAAGATGTATCACTCCATAGCTAAAACGAAGCCTTCAACACAGGCTGAAAAGAGGAGCTGCAGCAATGTGCAGTCTGACAAAAATATAACCATGGAAACCTGCTCTGGTACAAACTCTAAATAAGATGAGGAACCTGAAAATGAGCAGAATACCACCTCCACCTAAAGTCAATCCTAAAGCGGACAGGAAGCCAGTGCAGCGAGGCTAAAACTGACGTAATGTGCTCACGCTTTTTAGTTCCAGTTTGTATGTGAATCTAAGTAGTTAGCAGCAAACTGCCAAAGTTAAAAACAATGTTTACGTCACCAACACAGACATTTTCAGATCTAAAATTAACAATGAATGAATAAATGAAGGAGTTTTGTAACTGTAGATCGCGAGATGACCAGCTGCTCTGTCTTCCTTCATTGATATTATAATATACATAAAACAGGACAGATAAAGCTTCTGAGGGTGTATTAAACACCTTGGATCAGCCTATTAACGCACCCACCTTTTTGTAATTAACTGTGGCATCGAATTGGTATTTTACTGGTATCGATATCGACTGTTAAGTTTCTGGTATCGTGACATCCCTCGTACCATTTAAAGATTTTCACAGGGGAAAACAGGGGGCTGTTGTAAAACCTTTGACTTGAAGACGTCACTCTTCTGTGTTTACATCTCCAACATGTTCAATGACTGTAGTAAAAAAACAAAAACACGCTGACACGTTCGCTGTCAGCTGGAAGAAACGGTGTCCGTTTTTATAAAAGTCATCTACCATCAAATCTGCAAATTAAAGCTGCCATCTGAGGAGGAGCGACAGTGTCTGTCTGTTCAGACTGTTATCTGTTGATGGAGACGACCTTTGCGGCGGTGCGGTCTATTTAATGATTCATGAGTCAGACTGCAGGAGAGGAGCTGCTCGTGGCGTCCTCTTCCTGTGAAAGCTCTTGAGGCGGTGATTTGAGATTTGTCTGGTTTTAACCCTGTCCTCTTCCTGTTGCAGATCTCGGCCTTTCGGGCGTCTGTGAACGACGCCGGTTTGATCGCGGTGACGCTCGAGCGCTCAGACCTGCAGGAGAACGTCACGGCGTACGCAACGCAGATCTCCGGAGAACCTCGTCCGATCCTGGTCCAGTTCGTGAACACCAGCGAGCCTGTGCTGTTCAACACGTCGTTTCACGGCCTCTGCTACACTGTGGGACTGCTGGTTAAACTGGGACAGACCTGGTCCAGACCCGTCAAGACCGTCTCTGTGCTCACAAGTGAGAACCTGGAATTATATATATTGAATATAAAGATATATTGTAGAAAAGACGAGAGGAACATGTCAAATAATCCAGAATTATTTGTACTTTAATGGACTTTCTGTGTGTTTTAAGTGTTTCATGCAAGTTTGTGTAATTTGTGTTTTGTAATTTGATGATTTCTGATTCACCTCCAGGTGTTTTGAAGTGTGCCATGTGTTGTGTTTTTTGTCTCCTCAGAGCCTCTTCCTGTCCGCAGAGCTCACATCTCAGACTACAGGGAGTCTCCAGAGACCGGCGTGGTGTTTGAGATCGAGCCTCCGGCCGGTAACGTCTTCAGCCGAGTCAACATCAGCTACACTGAAGGACAAGAACGACGATCTATGCTTTATAAAGGTGCCCTGTTCTTCTTATTATAATGCGTGTGTAAAGATGTAATAAATGGTTAATAACACATTATAATGTAGCGGTTTGCAGACATGTTATTACCGTATAAAAGAAGTGGACATCGTGAAATCACCTGTCGGTTCGTGGACTACGGTTTTGAAGTGCTATGCCGTGTTTTTAACATCGGCTAAGATGTGATGAGCAGCAGGCGTTAGTGGATTTTAATTAAATGTCATTATCATGAAAATAAAAAAGAATCCTCTGTTTCTGTTTGTAGATTTCTACAAAGGGAAGACGGTGTTCAAACACTGGTTACCTGGGACGTGTTACCGTAACATCACCTTCCAGCTGATCTCTGAGGCCACAGTGAACCAGACTGCACTGGTTACACACAGCGACATCACACACACACCTCTGCACCACAGGACAGGTGAGTGACATCACACACACACACGCACGCATGCACCCGTACACCGCAGTGACATCACACACACGCAGTGACATCACACACGCACGCACGCACCCGTACACCACAGTGACATCACACACACACCTCTGCACCACAGGACAGGTGGGTGACATCACACACACACACACACCCGTACACCACAGTGACATCACACACACACACCCGTACACCACAGTGACATCACACACACGCATCCGTACACCGCAGTGTCATCACACACACACACACCCGTACACCACAGTGACATCACACACACGCGCACCCGTACACCGCAGTGACATCACACACACGCACGCATCCGTACACCGCAGTGACATCACACACACACACCCGTACACCGCAGTGTCATCACACACACACACCCGTACACCACAGTGACATCACACACACGCACGCATCCGTACACCGCAGTGACATCACACACACACACCCGTACACCGCAGTGTCATCACACACACACACCCGTACACCGCAGTGACATCACTCACACACACGCACGCATCCGTACACCGCAGTGACATCACACACACGCACGCATCCGTACACCGCAGTGACATCACACACACGCACGCATCCGTACACCGCAGTGACATCACACACACGCACGCATCCGTACACCGCAGTGACATCACTCACACACACGCACGCATCCGTACACCGCAGTGACATCACTCACACACACGCACGCATCCGTACACCGCAGTGACATCACACACACGCACGCATCCGTACACCGCAGTGACATCACACACACGCACGCATCCGTACACCGCAGTGACATCACACACACACACACCCGTACACCACAGTGTCATCTCACACACACACACCCGTACACCACAGTGACATCACACACACGCGCACCCGTACACCACACATGCGCACCCGTACACCACACATGCGCACCCGTACACCACACACGCGCACCCGTACACCGCAGTGACATCACACACACACGCATCCGTACACCACAGTGTCATCACACACACACACCCGTACACCACAGTGTCATCACACACACACACCCGTACACCGCAGTGACATCACACACACACGCATCCGTACACCACAGTGTCATCACACACACACACACCCGTACACCACAGTGACATCACACACACACGCATCCGTACACCACAGTGTCATCTCACACACACACACCCGTACACCGCAGTGACATCACACACACACGCATCCGTACACCACAGTGTCATCTCACACACACACACCCGTACACCGCAGTGACATCACACACACACGCATCCGTACACCACAGTGTCATCTCACACACACACACCCGTACACCGCAGTGACATCACACACACACGCATCCGTACACCACAGTGTCATCTCACACACACACACACCCGTACACCACAGTGACATCACACACACACGCATCCGTACACCACAGTGTCATCTCACACACACACACACCCGTACACCACAGTGACATCACACACACGCGCACCCGTACACCACAGTGTCATCTCACACACACACACACCCGTACACCGCAGTGACATCACACACACGCGCACCCGTACACCACAGTATCATCTCACACACACACACCCGTACACCGCAGTGACATCACACACACGCGCACCCGTACACCACAGTGTCATCTCACACACACACACCCGTACACCACAGTGACATCACACACACGCGCACCCGTACACCACAGTGTCATCTCACACACACACACACCCGTACACCGCAGTGACATCACACACACACACACCCGTACACCGCAGTGACATCACACACACGCGCACCCGTACACCACAGTGTCATCTCACACACACACACACCCGTACACCGCAGTGACATCACACACACACACCCGTACACCGCAGTGACATCACACACGCGCACCCGTACACCACACACGCGCACCCGTACACCGCAGTGACATCACACACACGCACGCATCCGTACACCGCAGTGACATCACACACACACACGCACGCACCCCCGTACACCGCAGTGACATCACACACACGCAGTGACATCACACACACAACTTAATCCAGATTTTCAATGACGTCACCCCTCCGCGTCCTCTTCTTCTGTGGTGGTTTAACACCAGAATCAGCTCCTCCAGCTGTTTATCTCTGTCAGCCAATGAGCTCGTGTTCTCACAAACTGCCTGGACACAGTTTATATTTTCCTTCATTTTAATTTGATGCTTTTTCTAAAAAATTCAGTAAAAACTTGTTCCAAGTTTTGTGTCGGAAAGTCTTCAGTTCGCCAAAAATTGAGAGATCTCGCTGACACCCCCCCCCCCCCAAAAAAAAGCAGGACCTTAACTGTTAATTCCCGGCGTTCAGCCTCCGTTTGGCAGCTCCAACACTCTGCAGCTGTGTGAGGATCATTAATATAACATCAGCAGATTAATGAGAGACTGACTCATAGAGGAGCCTCCTGCTGAGTGTCTCTCATTGATAAGATAAAAACAGCAGCAGATTACTGTCATCACGTCTCTTCACTCTGACTAATGAGGGAGCCGTGTCACTGGAAACACTTCTCACTCTGAACGTGATGACAGATTTGTTTACTACAGAGCTCCAAACGGCCGGTCTGCAAACAGAAAGATTTATTTATTTTAAAGAGGTCATATTCTGCTGTTTGGCTTTTTCCCTTCTACTTTATTGTGTTATTAATCTTTTTATGCATGTAACAGGTTTGCAAAGTGGGAGAAGAGGTTTCACTCACAGCTGGACTGTAGATGATGTGGAGACGGAGCTCAGTTAAAACGTTACGCATGTGCAACTCCCAACTAAGACCTAATAGAGATGCTTCACTCACACGGGGTGAATAGACGAGCGGCAGCAACACGCCGTGCGATAGAAATATGGTGTTTTTGAAAGATTGAACCATGAAAACCTGTTCTGGTACAACCCCTAAATAAAATTCTGAACCTGAAAATGAGCAGAATACGGCCTCTTTAAATGACGACGTGTTGATTTCGTAGGTACAAGTACCTCAGAAAAGTACAGTACTTGTGTAAATGTAAATTATTGTAAATTGTTTGTATAGATGAATGAAGAACCAGCAGATGCACTGATTCTTTAAATGTTCACTCTGTGTGTCAGTGCCCTTCCCCCCCCTCAACATTTCCCGTAAGATCGTCCACCTGAGCCAGAGGACGCTGCCAGGGGAAGACGCCAACCTCGTGCCTCCTGAGGCGGGCGAGGAGAGCCGGCGAGCCTCCCGTCGATCGCGGGACGTCCCTCTGATAGAGGAGGAGGAGGAGAACACCTCTGAGGAGGCGGCGGGCATTTCCACTCAGGTTCCCTTCGGCCCAACGCGCAACCTGACAGGCGCCGACGCCGTGAGGACCAATCAGTCGGCGGAGACTCGGAGCTTCTGGCCGGACCCCACCGACCCTACTCCTGCTGGAGACGGGGAGGACGAGTTCGTCAACGCCGTGGTGCCCGAGTACGAGGACTCCAACGAGCCGGGCTCAGCCATGGGTCTCCCCGCGGAGGCCTCCGTCCTGCCCACCACACTGCCCCCCATCCTGCTGGAGCTGCGCTGGCTGCCGCCCCGACCCCCCACCAGCTACGACGGCTTCAACATCTACATCTACAGAGACGGTAAACGGGGAGGTGGTCAGGGACACCTGTTCACACCTCAGCACAGTGCTTCAAGATTCAAGACGTCTGTTGTCAAACTTAGACCAGACAGCCAAACTCTCACCCAAGTCTCCCTTATTTTTCTTTTAACGTGCGTCGATATAAATAAATTTATAAACAAAAACAACAAACAACAATATATACAGACCAGATATATAGTAAATAGCAGCAGAGTAGGTTAAGTAGAAACTAGGGCTGAAGGGTTTACATAGTCGAATCGTGGGGGTTTTTGTGGAAAAAAAAATATATATATATATGACATTTTATAGGCCAAACAATTAATTGATTGATTCTCCCCCCCCCTCCTTCTCCCTCCTCCTCCTTCCTTGTCCCTCCTCCCTCCTCCTTCTCCCTCCTCCTCCTCCTCCCCCCTTGTCCCTCCACCTCCTCCATTCTCCCTCCTCCTCCTCCTCCTCCCCCTTCCTTCTCCCTCCTCCTCCCCCCTTGTCCCTCCACCTCCTTCATTCTCCCCCCTTGTCCCTCCTCCTTCCTCTTCTTCTTCCTCCTTCCTTGTCCCTCTTCCCTTGTCCCTCCCTCCTCCTCCTTCCGTGTCCCTCCTCCTTCCTCTTCTCCTTGCTCCTTCCTTCTCCCTCCTCCCTCCTCCTTCTTCCCTTCTCCCTCTCTGCTTCCTCTTCTTCTTCCTCTTTCATACTCCCTCCACCTCCTTCCTTCTCCCTCCTTCCTTCTCCCTCCTTCTCCCTCCCCCTCCTCCTCCCTCCTTCCTCCTCCCTCCTTCCTTCTCCCTCCTCCTCCCTCCTCCTCCTTCCTTGTCCCTCCTCCCTCCTTCCTTCTCCCTCCTCCTCCCTCCTTCCTTCTCCCTCCTCCTCCTTCCTTGTCCCTCCTCCTCCTTCCTTCTCCCTCCTCCTTCCTCTTCTTCTTCCTCCTTCCTTCTCCCTCTCTCCTTCCTCTTTCCTTCTCCCTCCTGCTTCATCTTCTTCTTCCTCCTTCCTTCTCCCTCTCTGCTTCCTCTTCTTCTTCCTCCTTCCTTGTCCCTCCTCCCTCCTTCCTTCTCCCTCCTCCTCCCTCCTTCCTTCTCCCTCCTTCTCCCTCCTCCTCCTTCCTTGTCCCTCCTCCTCCTTCCTTCTCCCTCTCTGCTTCCTCTTCTTCTTCCTCCTTCCTTCTCCCTCCTCCTCCTTCCTTGACCCTCCTCCCTCCTTCCTTCTCCCTCCTCCTCCCTCCTCCTCCCTCCTTCCTTCTCCCTCCTTCTCCCTCCTCCTCCTTCCTTGTCCCTCCTCCTCCTTCCTTCTCCCTCCTCCTTCCTCTTCTTCTTCCTCCTTCCTTCTCCCTCTCTGCTTCCTCTTCTTCTTCCTCCTTCCTTCTCCCTCTCTTCTCCCTCCTCCTCCTTCCTTCTCCCTCCTTCACCCCCCTTGTCCCTCCTCCTTCCTCCTTCCTTCTCCCTCTCTTCTCCCTCCTCCTCCTTCCTTCTCCCTCCTTCACCCCCCTTCTCCCTCCTCCTCCCTCCTTCCTTCTCCCTCCTTCTCCCTCCTCCTCCTTCCTTGTCCCTCCTCCTCCTTCCTTCTCCCTCCTCCTTCCTCTTCTTCTTCCTCCTTCCTTCTCCCTCCTCCTTCCTCTTCTTCTTCCTCCTTCCTTCTCCCTCTCTGCTTCCTCTTCTTCTTCCTCCTTCCTTCTCCCTCTCTTCTCCCTCCTCCTCCTTCCTTCTCCCTCCTTCACCCCCCTTGTCCCTCCTCCTCCTCCTCCTCCTCCTCAGGTAACTCCACAGAAACAGCCACGGTGGATGAAAACACTCACGAGTTCTTCACTGAGCTGACGGAGCCGGGGACGTACCGAGTCCAGGTCACCACGCTCAGCTCGTCCGGAGACTGCGAGGCCCGAGAGAGCAGCGCCGGCGCCGCCTTCACCTTCTACCTCAGTACGTTCACAAGGCGGTCACGTTGTTTTGCTTCCTTTTATAATGAGTTCACCCCAAAGATCGGATTACTGGATGGATTGAGATATTATGAGCGTGTTTTATAGGGTCATTTCTGAATTTTTAAATCTGGGCTCTTTGTTCACATATTGTTGGTGTTGAAATGACTCGTAGGTACAGAAAGTTTTGAATCGGTGCAGCAGATGCTTCAGCCGGCAGCTGAACCGGCGTATTCCTTCGTCACAATGGCGCCCACAAAAAGAGCTTCTTGTTGCCAGCGACAAGAATTTTACAGTTTTTCCACGTTTAAAAAACGAATTAACACCTTTCTTATATTCTTTAAGTTATGTCAAACAGTAAAATTAGGCTATTTATGAGTTTCTGTGATCATATAACAAAAACATAATCCACAGTTCAGTAGGGCCCAAGTTTAAAAAATACCAAAACTACCCTTTGTGGTGGATTTTAAGAGGCTGAAAGAATTAATGGCTGAATTTTGAGTTCCTTTTTTAAATGTATGCATTTAAGGAATAGTTGAACCTTTTAAACTATGCAAATAATCAATTAGAAATAACTTAATACTGTATTTTGTACTTTATCTGTTAAATATCCCCATAAAGTCCCATTAAAATAACTTTATTAAATCACTATTAATGTGTGAAATAATGGAAGTCGACTCTCTGGACTCGGTCTTTCAGAATCAGAAGGAGCTTTATTGCCAAGTAGTGTTCACCACATACAAGGAATTTGTTTTGGTGATGAGGTGCAGACGCAGACAAACATTCAGTTGACTTAAATAAATGTAGAAATATATAAATATGAAATAAACAATGAAAGTTATATAAGAATATTAAAGAGAATAGAGAAAAATATACCAACTATTTGCAGAACATGTGCATTATTCTGGGGTTGTGTTGTGCAGACGGATTGCAATGAAATATATAAAGTGACAATATAAAAATATACAACAAGGATTTAACCATTAACAACAAATGTGTGCAATGTGCCGGGTGTTTGTGTTCATAGCATCATTAAAACCGCTTGTTCCAGGTCCCGGCGGTGAGCTGCTGGAGGATCTCCGGGAGCGTCCTCAGGCCGTCACCGTCAGACTGCTGGACTCCAGCACCGCCGCCGTCTCCTGGGCTCAGTCCTCCGAGAACCACAACGGCAGCCTGGTGTCGGTGGTGTCTACGACCTGCCTCAGGCCGAGCCTCAGCCAGAGGATGGAGAACACGTACTGCAGCGAGGTGACGGCCGAGTGTCCCGTGTTTGTGGACCCATTTCCACGGGTTTTAAGATATTTTGAATTATGTATTAATTAAAGGGTGTGACGAGACACGAGACGGGATTATAAGAAATCTTCAACGCTGACTTTTATGAAGCTTTTGAGCATTAAACAGTTAATTTCCTGCATTCAGGTGACTTGTTTTGCCCCAGTTTATGGGTGACATGTTTTTATTTACGTAAAGGGAAACACAAAAGTCAGCGCGGATCTCGGGCATCCTGTGCTGCTCTCAGATCTGTTCCTCCTGTAGATGAACTTCTCTCCTGTAACATGCTGAGTCATGATTCAGTCTTCCCTCCTCTTTGTGTCTTTGTTTGGGGAAGTAACCTCTTTAAATGTGGCTCCTTTTCACCTCAATGAGAAGTGAATTCATTTTAATTCAGTTAGAAACTCCTGGACTTTAATAGCTCCTGTGTTTCAGCAGCTTTTCTTTTACTGAAACTAAGTGAAACCCAGTCTCAAACAGAGCGAGGCTGTTTAATCTCTTACCAGCTACGTTACCGCTCACCTGTCTGGACTGACAGAGCGAGAGCGGGTCCACGTGATTACTGTCACGGCGTACGCCGGTGTCACATCAGCTGGGCGGAGTTGATTCCCTCTGCGAGTCGATGTGATCAGTTCTACATTTTAACAAACAATCTATGTTTACTGAACTTAGGGCTGCAGCTAACAAAGATTTTAGTATTCGAAGCTTCTATATAATATTTCCACGATTCATCGACGCGTCGTTGAAGAAGAACTTTTGCTTGGCGGCGGCGGCGGCACCCAGTTACCTCCTGACTGTGAGGTTCAAACTCACGGCCCAAACAGGAGAACAACAAACGCACCGTGGTCACATTTTCAGCTGAGGTCTGCAGCTTACTTTGGCTTCAACTCAACAATCAATCATGGTTTCAGTTAAATGCTAAAGTTGCTGTTACCTCGTCTGTGGTCCGCCGGCAGAACACCGGCTGCTTTCTGATCAGGCGCCGTCGTGCTGTTGCCGAGACGACATAAGTTAGGTTTTATGGTGGACGGACTGTGACATTACAGAGCTGTTGTTTTCTTTAGCTTGAAATAATCCCAGACTTTGGACACTTTTCTTCTTCGTTCCTCGCTGTTTCCTCAGCGCCATCATAATCACGTCGTGTTCGCAGCGTAATCACGATGTGCGACGGTAATAAATGTCCCTGCGAAACACTGCGCTGTAAAGTTAAATGGATTAAACGAAGCATCGATGCAAAGAACTTGTGTCGAAGCATTTTATGAATCGATATAACCGAACTGAACTATTACATTAGTTAGTAGCTTGTTGATGGTAACATTTTAATTCTTACCGGTAAGAATGGAATAATCACTAGGAACCAATGAACAGATGAACTGCAGAGCCAGAAAATGTGCCATTAATTACTATCTAGTAACTAAATCAAGTATCTAATCCGTTGTTACTGATAAAGGGGAATAATTAATAGTAACTAATGGAATAGTTATTAGTGACTAATAAATAAGCACTAGTAACTTTTAAATAGTGACCACTTAGTTTTAAAGACTTAAATGTTTAAACTGCTCACCACAGTTCATGAAGCTTTAATCAGTTTCAGACGAACAAAGTGAAGTTTGGAAACGTGTGAACGACTCTGCTTATGTTCGACTCTGAGGTGTGAAACGTCTCCGTCTGTTTTCAGCAGATTTGGACGTTTCCCAACGTTACACAGTTTATTATTACAGTTATTCATTCAGAAACACTGAGGATCATCCAGCCTCTGCTAAAATCAATAGTTTTTCTACCAACACAGTTTGAAGGACAAAAAGGTGATATTTTATTTAAAAGTCATGCAGAAAGGAAAAATAAACAAATGTTTTCTTAAAAAATCGTTAAATTAGAAGGATTTTCTTGTACAGTTACAACTTTATTCTCTTAACTTTATCTTGTAAATTATGGTTTTATTTTCAAAAGATTACTTTTTTATTTTACTATTATTTAACATCATTCTCAAAATGTTTTTCTCTTTAATATTTGAGTTCTTTCTCAAAAGGACAAAATGTTTAATATGTTACGGTCTTGAGGTTTGGAGGTTTTGGCGCCCTGCTCAGGGGCCGCGGTGTCAGCAGGTCGATAAAGGTTTGTTTGTTTGTTTGTTTGTTTCCACAGGAAAACACCACGAGTGACATCATCACTAACCTGACCCCCGGGGCTCAGTACCGAGTGGTCGTCTATCACACTAACGGGCCCCTGATCAGTCCTCCGTCTGAACCCGTCATCATCGATATCGGTGAGCAACTGATCGCTGCGTCTGTAGAACCAAATCATGTAGAACCTGAGTGTGTAGAGCCGGATCGCATCCAGCTGGAGCTCAGAGCCGGATCATGTAGAGCCGGATCGTGTAGAGCCGGATCGTGTAGAGCCGGATCGCATCCAGCTGGAGCTCAGAGCCGGATCGCGTAGAGCCGGATCGTGTAGAGCCGGATCGCATCCAGCTGGAGCTCAGAGCCGGATCGTGTAGAGCCGGATCGCGTAGAACTGTATTAGCGGATAACTGAACAGTGAAGAACTTGATTGTCTAGATCTCAATCATGTAGAGTCGAAAAGTGTAGAACTGGTTTGTGAAGAACTGGATCCTGTAGAACTCGACTCTGTGCAACAGAATTGCGTAGAACCAGTTTGCGTAGCACTGGTTTGTGTTTTGGATTGTTCAGAACCGGGTCACGTTTAGGACCGGGATGTGTAGAACTAGATCATGTAGAACTGGATTGTATCGGCGGTGGTCAGGAGGCGGTTTATCTTTTATCTCTACTAAAGTAAAACAGCCAGTTTCATTAATTGCTTTCTAACTACAACATCGTAATCTATGAGTTGATTGTGTTTATTAACCTGTACGCGTGTGTCAGAGCCCACAGGTGTGCGCGAGCTGGCCGTTTACCCCCTGAGTCCGACGGCGGTGATCCTGAGCTGGCAGCGTCCGTATCACGTCTCCTTCAGGAAGTACGTCCTGCAGACCTTCTTCTTCAACCCCGTCACCCTGGCCTCGGAGTGGACCACCTACTACGAGATCGCCGCCACCGCCTCCATCATCGCCTCAGTGGTAACGCGCAGTCCTGCGTCATGTAGCTCGGTGTTCAGGTTTATTTTTCATTTACAGCTAGAATTCTGGAGTTTTAGCAAAATAGTTGAAGATCTTCTGTCAGCGGAGTCTGACCGGTTTTAGCTGTTGATGAGTAACGAGATGATGATGAAATGATTGTTTATGTTTTTAAAATGATTTTACCTTTCTGAAACTTAAATATTGAGGATTTTTATGAACTGGTAACCAATGTGGTTCATGCTAATGTTGTTCAGTAAAAAGTACAATATTTGCCTCTTAGATGTTGCACAAAATGGAAATACTCAAGTAAAATACCTTAAATATTTACTTATTACAGTACTCGAGTACTGACTGTATAAAATAAGTGGACGACTGTTTTGCAGCCTCAAGTTTGGTGTTGCGCCGTCGCCATCTTGTTTTTTGGAACCAGACACGATCATTTGTGGACAAGAGGGTGGCTCTAGCTAGCTTGGTTACGTGCGTCCGTAATTCACCTTAACTGTGAAATTAACCAGAATGCTAATTTTAGCTAGCGAAAAAAAACGGTTTAAAACTAAATGCACTTACAGGAAAAATGAACAGCTGACTCCTGATAATCTTTTTCAGCGCCGCTATTTTAAATGTACACAGAGTCACCTCTATCCTGACTGACAGGTCGCCATGGTAGCGACCTGTCAATCAGCTTGTAGCCCCGCCCTAAAGCCTCCCCTGCTTCCTGGTCTCTGTTCCTCTAAATGGGACCATAATTTACTAAATGAACATCATGCTGTGTTGAAGAAGACTTGAAACTAGCGACTGAGACCAGAAACTCATCAGGAAAGTGTTTACTGAGGGAATAAATCAGCTGACAAGTAGAAACATCTTCTCAGAGACTTCTATACAATCACACTTCTTTCTGCAGCCGCTGGAGTCGCCCCCTGCTGGCTGCTGGAGAGGACGCAGGTTTAAGTCGCCCCCTGCTGGCTGTTAGAGAGGACGCAGGTTTAAGGCGCCCCCTGCTGGCTGCTAGAGAGAACGCAGGTTTAAGTCGCCCCCTGCTGGCTGCTAGAGAGGACGCAGGTTTAAGTCGCCCCCTGCTGGCTGCTAGAGAGGACGCAGGTTTAAGTCGCCCCCTGCTGGCTGCTGGAGAGGACGCAGGTTTAAGGCGCCCCCTGCTGGCTGCTGGAGAGGACGCAGGTTTAAGTCGCCCCCCTGCTGGCTGTTAGAGAGGACGCAGGTTTAAGTCGCCCCCTGCTGGCTGCTGGAGAGGACGCAGGTTTAAGTCGCCCCCTGCTGGCTGCTGGAGAGGACGCAGGTTTAAGTCGCCCCCTGCTGGCTGCTGGAGAGGACGCAGGTTTAAGGCGCCCCCTGCTGGCTGCTAGAGAGGACGCAGGTTTAAGTCGCCACCTGCTGGCTGCTAGAGAGGACGCAGGTTTAAGTCGCCCCCTGCTGGCTGCTGGAGAGGACGCAGGTTTAAGTCGCCCCCTGCTGGCTGCTGGAGAGGACACTTCAGCACTGGCTTCACTTTCCAGAGCTGGTTATTCTGGACACAGAACCGCTGAGATAAAATCCAAACAGGATCATTTTACCTTTTTAGGATTAAGGGAAATAAAAACAGCCACCAGAACCAGAACCAGTTCTCTACATGCAGACTGTGTCTTAAACTGCTACTTAACCCTTTATATTATTTTAATAGACTTTATCTCTGATGTCTTTTTTAACATTTCTTCCACTTGTTTATTCTGTTGATTTTAAAGTTGAAGTAGTCGAGTATCTTCATCCTTTTGTCATTGACACTGAAAATGAAGTTTAACACTTTAAAATAGTTTATATTTGCGCGGCTTCGTCGCTCGGTGCCTTGGGATCAGCTGTTACTGAGAGAGGACCGCGTTTTAAAAGCCTCGTGTGATGCAGTTTTTCTTCTTCTTGTATATTCTCTCAGAGAGTCACGGATCTGCTGCCGGCTTGGTATTATAATTTTCGTGTTTCGATGGTGACGTGGGGCGACCCGCCGCTCAGCTGCTGCGACAGCGCCACCGTCAGCTTTGTTACAGGTACTGACATCTAACACTGTCTCTGTTCACCCTCATGTTTACTGTCCCCCAGAGTCTGCATCGGGTCCATCCTGTCAGTTTATTTTAACGATTAGCATCTTCATCAGGTCAAACACACGTCTGCGGAGAACAAGTCAGCTTCAGAATCGAAGGCTAAATTTCACTTTCTTAGATGTATTGTGAAATAAAAGCTGGCGTTCAGTTACTGGACGATTTGTTTGTGGTCGGCATTAATAATTAAAAACATGCTGTTGAATCACCAGAATTACAAAATTATGAAGTCTGTTTCTTTGATTGCTTGTAAGTTATATATTTCACATTAAAAGCCTACCATGAAAGAGAAGGTTTATGTCCTTTTGAGCCCCTAGAAGGCTTTTATTGTGACACTTCTGTGCAGGAAAGGTTGAATTTTTATTGAGAGTAGCTTTAACAACAGAAACTGTCCCGTCTAACCCTTCTTAATTATTATGTTTAGGTTACATGTTTATTATTATTTAGGAGACACTGTCGCACATATTTGTATGTTGCAAACTATGCAGCAGTTGTTAAACTACACTTTCAGCCTTTAAACTTGGAAGAAATAATAATTTGACTTTTATCCTGATAATTTTAGATTAATATTATATTTTTTAGCGTGATAACAGCTCTACTGTAAATGTGCCAGTGTTTGTGTTTCTTGTCGCTTGGCCAGATGTTAAATTAGCCACAGAACTGAACTGCTAAATCACATTAGACCTGACGAATGTTGAGGAAGAAAGAAAGAAACATAATCTGTGATGTATTAAAAATAACATCCAAAGAGCAAATGATCAGATATTTCGGTGATTAATTTGTCATTTCTGTCTCAGCTCCCGAGGCTCCTCACATCTCCTCGGTGGATTACTCTCATGGCGTCCTGTACGTTCGTTGGACGTACGGCGAGCTCTTCATCGACCTATCACACTCCAGGATGCTGCACTGGCAGGTGGTGGCCGTCGGCAAGAAAGGACCGGAGAAGAGCTACTCCATCGACGTACGTCTTTCACTCCTTCACCCATTTATACCGGGATGTTTGTAAAACACGTCGCTCCCTCACAGGAGTCGTAGAGTTTGAGCTGCTCGCTCATGTCGATCTGTTCTGGGAGGTGAGGGTTTGTTAAGAAGACTCCAGGCAAACCGGGCCGACTTTACTCAAATCACAATGAAACGTTACAGGCTGAAAGTAAACATAAAAATAAGCTTTTTTTTTTGTTTGTAAATGCAAAAGAGGCATTTCCTCATTAAATATGCGCACATTTGCATATCACACAAATCTATTTTCCAGCACATTGAAAAGAGTCAGATGTATTTTTTTAACGTTTTAATGTGATAATATACTAAATGTTCAGACATTTACAGAAAGATTTATCAAAATATTGTTTTTTTTTCATGGATTTATTTTAAATATACCCTTTTTTTCACTTATTTAAAGATAAAATGAGAATTATAAAAGATATTTTTTTAAACTCTGCGTCTTGCTCTGGGACCTAAAAAACAGTGTGTAAAGTTTTGATAATGTAACGGCCTTGAAGGGCGACGAAACAGGTCAGCTAACACAACAGCGGATAAAAATGACTGTTTGTCACATGAATGCATCTCTTAAAGGTATCTGATATATAAACTAGCTAACAGTGAGCTCTAGAAAACAAACTTTCAAACAATGTATGATTCAGTATGGAGAGTTTTAAAAAGACTAGTTGAACTTTAACTTGCTAACAGCGATCTGTGGTTTACAGATTTGGTATAAAATACATAATAATATTTAAATATATTCAAAAACTAACATTTTATGAAAGTATGGTAAAAATAGATGCAAAATAACTGGAAATGTGAAAAATTGACAGATCGAAGCAAAATCATCATTTTGGACACACAAGCTTATATTTACTGACCTGATAATGACAACAGATTTATTTCAGGATCAGCTGTTCTGCACAAGTTTCTGTTCAGTGTTTGGTTCCATTTAAAGCGTTTCACCGGTTCACATTCTGCAGCAGCAGCTTGTTATTTCAGGCTGAGCTGCTTTTGATTATCTCCTCCGGGTCTATTCCATGGTCCAATTAGCAGCAGAGGGATGACCTGCTGTCTCTTCCGCATCGTCTCCGGCTCATCTTCTCCTCCACGAGGCCAATTACATTCCCCCGCAGACTCAGGCCTCCGTCTCTTAATTAACATTTTGAGGGTCAGAGGTGCCGGTTGAGGTTTAATTGGCCTGACTGATGGAGCCCATGTCTCACACAGAAACGGGATAAACACTAGTGGACTTCTGTTTAAAAGCTTGGGAGACATCGGGGATGGAGGCAACAATAAATCATAATGTACTATAGAAAATAGTAGAAATACAGTCATGAAAGCTGCTACGATTCTTTTCATCATATGTTTATTGTTTTGTTTTCGATTTATTTGTTTGTTTAATGTAGAAAATGGAAAAAAGTCCATTACAAGTTCCGTAGAGCCGAAGATCCCCTCATACTGTTGTATGTAGAGTCTTGTGTTATACCCAACGTTGGTCTTTAAAGTGTGGAGTCGAGTCAAACGGGAACTGCAATCGATGCTTTTTGTTTGGTTTTCTTGCGGCCAAACACGCAATCAACACAACAACCCGGGGGGGGAGACACGCCTCCACGCCTCCACGCCTCCACGCCTTCCTTATGTGTGATTTTAACAGCCATGTTCGTCAGTGCTGCGAGTTTCTCACCACAAGCTTGTCTTTCAGTTGGTTTCATCTTCTGATATCAGTTAACTCAGCTGCAGCTAACGAAAATTATTCTCTTTCAGCAAACAGATTAAAAAGCTTAACTTCCTTTTCCACAGTGGTCACTAAACTATTTCACTCCTCCTCTTATTCAAATACAAAAACGCCTCCAGAGCTGTCGACCTTCCTCTGATCATAACGAGGAGTGATCTGATGCACGTTTCCAATATTTATAACTGTTCTTTCAAACAATAAAAATGAAACGGAAATAGATTTAATTTCATTTATTGTTTATTTGAAAAGGGACGATTTACATTAATCAACATTCAAAGCAAATGTAGATGTACCCGCGTTAGCCACAGGCTGGTTTTCATCGCCGTCCCCTTTCCAGATGTTATTGAGCATCCTAAAGAAAAATAATACATCACCTTGCTCGTCCATAACAAAAATAAAATAACACCACCAATCAACTACTTTGGCTTTAACAGGTGGCATTTTACTCAAGGTATTGAACGAAGTGCTGGTTTTGGTACTGGCATCGTAAAATATAACACCCAGAAAGGGAAAAACATTTTGAAAGCTCACCTGCTTTGTGTGTTCGGTCGATATCCAATGAAAGGATGTCATTAATTTAAGATGGAGAACGATCGCAGCGACTAAACAGTGAATGCATTTGCGAAAAGCTGTTTTTGGTTTGTGTGTTTCCAAGAAGGATCATGTCATTTCCTGTGTGTGTTTCTGGTGTCAGGTGACTCGTAACGTGATGCGGGCCAGCCTCCCTCTGCCCCCAGGAGACATCTACAACCTGACGGTGACGGCCTGCACCGAACGCAGCAGGAACACCTCCATGCCAAACATCATCAAACTGGGTCAGCACCGCACGCACACACACGTTTATACGCACTAACTAAACAGCCAAACATGTCAGAGGCATCAACAAAAAGATTAATTGGAAGCAAAGACATTCACCTTTTAAACTAACCAGCATGAATCAGCTTTAACAATTTGTATTTTATTTTTGTACCCATTGAATCTGATCTGCTGCATTGAAACTTTGGCTTCATTTAGTTGATTAAAATCAAAAGTAGAACTAGAAACTAAAAATAGAAATACACGTTTAAACGAATGAAACTGACCTGCAGCCTTTAACAGAACAACTTTTTTTAAAATGGACAAAGATCCAAAAAGAAGTTCTTTAAATTTGTACTAGTAGGGGAGAGTGGGGTGAATTGAGCCGGTTTTTACTTGAGATGTCTTTAAAGTGAGAACATGACGATAATGTCTCCAACCAAAATGTATTTCAGCACGTGGTGCATCACTGGGAACCATCACTTTGGATCTAAAATAAACAGTTTTCAAAATGTGAATAAAATGTAGTATTACAAAAAACTCGCTGGCTCAACTTCCACCAGGTCTTCTGGCTCAAATCCAACCCTGCCATTCTAACAAACTTGTCATCCAGCAGTTCAGCGCTCACGTCATGCTAACAGTATAGCCTCAGACTGTAACTTCCTACAGCACCTGTGAGATCTGTTCAGACTTGTCTGTAATTGTTTAGACTCCAAATTCACTTTGAACAGCAAAAATCATTTTTTTTACTTAGTTCCCATGAAACGTTGTTTGCTGCTGGATATGTACGCGTTTCCTGTTAAAACACAAAGCTAGGAAGGGTCGCAAATATTGATTGACGTTTGCAGAAGCCAATTCATTTGCCTGCCAACCAGTATGCAAGAGACGCACGGTTACTTTGAGTTGTTACGTTTTACGTTGCCAAAATGCTGGATGGTTGTTTTTGCTTTTGGATTCACTAATCGAGGAGACGAGCCTGGGCTGTGTCAGTCGAGCGGCGGCAGGGACCTGGTGGTTTTTAACGGCAGAAATGCGGCAGCGGATGCTGTAACGTTATATAGGTTGGTAGTGTCCAACACTTGCAGTTTGTGTTCATGTCTTTCTTTTTATTTAGTTGAAAAGTGATCCAAATAAAATCTGAGGGCTTTTGCGGGAGTCGCGGTGTCGGTCTGTTGTTTTGCCCTCCAGGTCACCGCACATGTCACGTGACTGAAAATAGCGCTGAATCAAAACAACGTTTTTTTTTATCGTTGCTGGGTCGGATGCTGGTGTATTGGTTTTGATTTCATGGGGACTTTAAATGTGTTTATCACTTGACCAGTTTTATCTCTGGTAAAACAGAAACAACGGGTTGCTCAACTTCCCCACAGGCTCAAGTTACCCCGCTCTCCCCTTCTTGAGTAAATGTTCTTAATTACTGTCCACCGCCGCTGGGGGCCACACCCCGAAAAGGCCCTTTGTTTTCATCCGAGACTGTGGAACGGCTAAAAGGAAGTGACGTTTGAAGGGGCCTGGAAAAGTGATGAAATATACGATGGATCCAGTCCATGTAAGGCCTTAAAACCTGCTCTCTGTTTGACTGGTAACCAGTGAAGAGAGGCCAGTATCTGGGAGAGATGATCCCTCTTCCTGGTACCGGTCAACAATCTAGCAGCCACATAATGAGTACGGAGAATTGCAATAATCAATTGTTTGTTCAGTGAGAGAGAGAGAGAGAGAGAGAGAGAGAGAGAGAGAGAGAGAGAGAGAGAGAGAGAGAGAGAGATTTCAGTTTTATGGTCCTCAGAAACAACAGATATGTATAATATGTGTATATTATATATCTCTTAAAGTTACACAGATGAGATGAACAACGTCCACTTTAAATCAGACTGATGCTGTTTTTATGATTTTTAGCAGGGATTCAAAAGCTAAGCTGCTAATAACGCCGTCTGCTGGTGGTGAGCTGTTCAGGAAGTGGTCTGTGTGAGCTGTGCATATATTTATGTAAATCACTGGAAACCACATTAACAAGTATGTGTGTTGTGTTTGTACACAAAGTACACGTCAAATAAATATTTCCTGAACATGGTGTTCTCTCATTTCAGTTAGTTCTTGTCACGCTGGTGTTTCTGAGGAGTTTGGCTTTAATGAGTTATTTGATGCTATAAAAAGGAGGTTTCACAGCTTTAATGTCGTCAGTTGGTGAAACGAACCTGCAGGAGACTCCAGGTGAGTCGGGCAGGTGTCTGTCTATGCTCACAATTAAAACAGAATAATTATTTCTTCAGCTATGAACTGACTGCACCCTGAAAGTGAATATGAAACTGCATTTTTTTTTTTTCCCACTTCCTCTTCTGAGCATGGACGTATTTTTGTCCTCGGAGGAGGTCCGTGTTTGCTGAGACTCGGCTCAGCTCTGACGTGGTTTACACATGCAGGTTTTCCTGTCTTATAAACTGAGATTAGGGGTTTTATTTTTTGCGTCTGGTGGTGTTTGTTGCAGAGCCGGCTCCTCCCAGGTCTCTGTTCGCTGTGAACGCCACTCACTCGGCTGTGACTCTGCTGTGGACCGAGGAGGGAGTGGTGGACTACTACCAGGTCCTCTGCAAACCCAGCAAACCCAGCAAGGAACGCAAGGTAGAGCAACACTTTCTTCTCAACACACGGACACAGTCATGAGACGCACGCACTTAGAAAGAGGGGGTTAAAGGTCCGTGACTTAGGGTTCCTGGAAAAACTTCACGCAGCACTTTTTAAAACTGTGTCACAAATTTCTTCACAACCAAGAAACTAAATGCAAAAAGAAACGAGAGACAAATAAAAGAGAAATAGAAAAGTAGTTGGTGAAGGTAAACAAAAGTGAATCTGCAGCTTTCTGCTTGAACAGAACAGATTAAACTCTGAAACAAAATGACTTTTCTTAAGTGTTTTAAAGTTTAGAAACCTCACAACATCCTAAACTGTGGCTCTGGCCCCTCAGGTGGGCTCAGAGCTGTAGCTGGCGGGTCTGCAGGTAAACTATCTAACTGTTAACCGTTTAATGTCAGCAAAGCAAATTAAAAATGAGTCTTGCATTCGGAAAGAGGAAGTGTTTTTGATGCACTGTAAATCCTTGACGTTAGTCAGCTTGTTTTTATAATCTGGTGAATCAACACAGCAAAGCTTTTAGGAACTATGGCAGCAATTTGATCTGTAGCACTGATGTTCAGCAACAAATAAATGTAAAAATAAATGAAAACACAAATATATAAAACCTTTTATGTATTTATTGACGATATTGAAGAATAGTGAGTTGGCGTTTAGTTCATCAACTGGCTCTATAAAGTGATCAGTAAATCCTTAAAATTTATTCTAAATGTACTGGTAACGAGGCTAAAACACCTCTTGCACCTTTTTATCAAGTTAGTGGATGTGAAAGACGTAGCTGACAAACGAAGAATAACAGGACAGAAGGTGGATACGGTGAAACATTTGGATGCACACAAAAGACAGTTTATAAAGAAAACTGTGTGTGAAGCCACTTCAGACTGGCTTCAGTTTTTCGTGCGAGTGTAGCAGGTAGATTTGTTTCTGACCTTTTGCATCAGCAGGTTGTTAAAAAGCTCCCGTGTTTTATCTGAGGAGACTGAGTCATTAACGAGGAGGTGAGGACTCTCCCTGCAGGGCGGACTGTGTGGTCTCTGCTGTCATCGTGTTCATCAGCACCTCGCTGGATATTTAAAAACTTCAGTCTCTTTCAGGCCTGGGAACCTCAGACGGCCAACTCTCACGTGGTGACGGTGTCTGGTTTGATGCCCTCATCCACCTACAACTGCACCGTCACCAGCTTCAGCTACAGCACGCCCAGCAAGCCCGCGCACATCACCATCACCACTGTCGGTAGGTGGCGCTGTCCGGTATCTGCGTTACACTTATTACACATATTATCTTATTATTGTCCATATAATATTGTCTTTATTTTAATACAACAAACACCTTCATCTACTTACATTTACATACATTTACTCATTTAGCAGACGCTTTTATCCAAAGCGACTTACATTCGAGGAACAACATACAAACACAAACAACTACAGATCTACAACTGACAATACATACTAGTAAGAGCTCACAGTACATATCACATCAATGGGGTAAATAACTAGGGAAGGAAGTAAGAGTTAACAAAAGTAGTGACTTGAATTTGATTCTGGAGGCCACGGGGAGCCAGTGGAGGTCACAGAGTAATGGAGTGACATGAGTCCTTTTGGGCTGATCAAAAACCAGACGCGCTGCTGCGTTCTGAACCATTTGTAAGGGTTTCACCGCACAAGCTGGGAGACCTGCTAGGAGGGCATTGCAATAGTAGAGGCGAGAGATAATCAGGGCCTGTACCAGAAGCTGGGTGGCGTACTGAGTGAGGTAGAGCCTGATTTTCTTTATGTTGTATAGAGCAAAGCTGCATGACCGAGAGACAGTAGTAACATGGTCTGAAAAGGACAGCTGGTCATCAATCATGACACCCAAGTTTCTCACCCATTTCTCACCCAATCACTTAGACAATTCAAACTCCGCAGACTTCCTGTCTCTGATTCAGTTTGATCTAACACGGGTTCTCAGCCCCACGACCCACAAAGCTGGCAAGGTGCTTGACCTCGTTCTTGTCTGAAACTGTGCCACAGAGTGCCTAACAGTCACACCTCTACATGTGTCTGACCACTATTTCATTCAGTTCACGATATGCCTACAGGAAAAGCCCATTGGTTTTACACCGCCGCCACACAATCTCTGTGCTCTACACTAAGCTCGTGCCTGGATAGCCTGTGTCCTCTATCCACCAAGCCTGCTCGCCCAAACCGGCCCCACCCGTGGCTAACTGACACCATCCGTGGGCTCCATACTGATCTCAGAGCTGCTGAAAGAAAATGGCAAAAAACCAAAGACCCCGCCGACCTTAAGGGCTACCAATTGCTCCTATCCTCCTTCTCAACAAGCATCGGTGCTGCCAAAACTGCGTTCTGTAATGACAGAATAAGCAGTGGCACTGACTCAAGGAAATTATTTTCCACTTTTAAAGCGCTACTAAATCCTCCTCCACCTCCACCACCCACAAACTTGTCTGCTGATACCTTTGCTGCCTTCTTCACAGGCAAAGTGGAGGCTATAACTAGCCAATTCTCTGAAACACTCAAACTCAACCATTGTAGCAGTCCTACTACATCTTTTCCTCTGCCCTCCCAGGTCAGCGGTTGTTCACTCTCCTCGTTTGCTCCTCTCACAGAGAGCGAAATATCAGAACCCGTAGCCGTCCAACTACATGCCCACTGGACCCGATTCCTACGAATCTCCTCCAAGCCATATCTCCTACTGTGGTCCCGACAATCACTCATGTGATAAATGCTTCTCTGGCTTCAGGAACCTTCCCGACCACTTTCAAAAAGATTTAAATTAAACGGATACAATAGATTTGTAATGGATTTTATGCATAGATTTACAAATTCCTATAGAGTAAACAATCCTTTGAATTTACAAATTAACATTACATTTAGGGCTTGATTTGTACCTTCTTTTTCTAAGAGACAATTTCAGGGATTCGCCCCAAATTTTGGATTATTAATGGATAAATTAATGGAATAACAGCTATTGGAAAAACATCATTGTAGAAGTGATTAGAATTAATTTTACTGATGAATTTGTGCTGTATACTGAATTTAAACATGGACATAAACATGGTGTATCAACAGCAAATTAAACCCTTACTGAAATATTATCAAATATATTTAAATTGAGGATTAAAAATTAAGTTTTGTCTATAAGATTGTCTCACATAACAATGTTTGTGTTACTGCAGCTAAAGAGATGAACCCGAGCGTAGCAGCGATCTCGGCTCTGGCCGTCCTCAGCATCCTGCTCATCTGCCTGCTGGTTCTGTTTCTGCTCATCCTCCGCAAGAAGCATCTGCAGATGACCAGGTACGAAACTCTCAAACTCCTCCACCAGTTACGAAACTCTCAAACTCCTCCACCAGTTACGAAACTCTCAAACTCCTCCACCAGTTACGAAACTCTCAAACTCCTCCACCAGTTACGAAACTCTTAAACTCCTCCACCGGTTACGAAACTCTTAAACTCCTCCACCGGTTACGAAACTCTTAAACTCCTCCAGTAGGTACGAAACTCTCAAACTCCTCAACCAGAAAGGAAATTATGAAACTCCTCCGCTAGGTATGAAACTCTCAAACACTGCCACCTGACAATAAGATACTGACCAATCAGCTATCCTGGAAAATGAATCACCATCCATAGGAGATCCCACACTGTGGATGATGCAGAGCTGCTTGTGTACACAGATATCACCCTACAGAGACTGAAGCTCTGCAGCCTTGTACTTTAGCCTACTTTAAGATATGACAGTAAGCCTGCTCACCGCTTATAAATGTTTTATATATTTTATTTGTATTAGTCTAATATTCTATGTTGCTAGTGGAGACTGCTGCAAACTCCATCTCTTTTATGTGAAAGAGCTTATGACTGGATTAGGAAACCCTGGTTTGAATGACCAAGTTGATACCCAGCTTCATGTGACCGCTTATCCTGATCGCGATTGTGAAGCCAGATAACGAAAAGATATCCTTAGTATGTTGAACTTGCTTCGTACTACAGGCCTCTGGTACAAAACTCTGAAAACACTGTCACCAGAATCATTAAAATAAAGATCAAAGTTGTGCAGACAAAATGCAATACTAAAAGTCACAAACACTTTTTTTTAACAATCCAGCTCCAAAGAAATAAGTATAACTTACTAATAATTTCTTCTTCTGGGGATTAAAGACATGAAAGTTAATTTCACACATCAACAATTTTGTAGTTTAAACAGAACAATTTTTGCTGAAACGTTGGTACTTGGATTACAACGCAGCTTTGTTAGTAGAAGTGGGGTTGTTTTGACAACTAACACCCTTCAAACTCTGGTCTGGTTTCCATGAACTGTAAGATTTCATGTCACACTTTATTTTAAGAAGCAGTGATGCTCAGTGTTTGGGAACGTGAGCAACTTCCTCTTGTTATGAGGCTGACTGGCGTGAAGAACTCATACATTTTTTTTATCCGAATATACATTATATAACCTTCACAGCCAATTGGTCTTTATGTGCATGAGTCAGAACCGCATCTTGGTGCCTGTTGCACCGGCTGTGTGTAAGTTAAAAAGTAGCCCAGTAATAATGAAACTTATTACTAAGTTGTTATTTATGCATTGCAAAGATAAAAGCAGCAACTTATATCCGTGGTGCAACTGCTTTTAACTCAATAAGTGATCATTTCTGTTATTACTCAGCTTCTTTTTAACGTGGTTTAGTAACTGATGTGGTTACAAACTAACTCGTAGACAGTGATTGATGGTGAATAAGATATATGTATGTTAAGTATTCTTGCTGTTATCATTCTGTTATGTGGGCACTATTTTGTATAATTGTGTGATAAAACGTTAATTTTCCAAATTTTGATCGAAATTTTAAAAATTTTACCAAGTCGTAAATTTACTTTTAACATGTCTTTGGCCATTTTGTCTTTTATGAGATGGTGACAGTGTAGAAACTGACCAGAAAATGAAAGAGAAAGCATGCATCTCAAACACTTAATAAGTAGAAAGTAAGTCAAAATGTTTTGGTTTTTGAGTGACAAAATCTAAATTATGAAGTGGAGGAACAAAATTTAACTTCAAACAATAATTTAGTTTAAACATTTATGTATAAACCATAGAATTTGGTCTTAATATTTGTTAACATTAGTGACTTTATTTTTTGTCGTTGCTGACTTTTCATCTATTTCTTTTTCCATAAATGTTGTCTTAAATCTGAACAATAAACCCATTTAGTAACTATGTGGGATGTGTGATATCTTAAATAGAGTCAATTTCACATTACATTATATTAAATGCAATTTTCAGTTTAAGTTTTTAGTTATTCTCAGCCTCTCATGTTAAAGCTCACTTCCTCATTTTGTTTACTGTACAGTCATCAAATATTTTTGACTTCCTCAAACTGTAGTGAACTGTTCTCACCACATTTTCCACACTGTCTATATTCAAATGTATTTATTAGGATAAACCCCCTGAGATCATCTTTTTTTTGTTTGGGCCCTACATAGCAACAGAGTGACAAAATAAAAGTAGAAATGATGTATTTATTGTTTTCTGTTTCAGAGAGTGCGGCGCAGAGACTTTCGTCAATTTTGCTTCATTTGAAAGAGATGGAAAGCTTCCTTATAACTGGTGAGATCCTCCTCTTTTTGGTTTTTCATCTTGAGATCACAATAAAATGTTGACACCGATATCTTTAAGTCACATTTGAACCCGAAAAGTTGAACCGAAAAAAGCACTTCACTGTCCTGAGACCTGAGTGGATGTTTTTTTTTTTTTTTTTTTTTTTTAGCAGATTTAGATAATCAGTAATCGCACATTCTCAGTTTGGATGTCAAAGCCTGTCAAACACCCTGTGAAGACCCAATCAGAGGCAGATTAGCGGCCCCGCCGGGGATTGAGGAGGCAGATTAGGGATTTGAACATGTAGCTACAGATTTTTGCCCGTCTGTGGCGCTTTAAGCAGCGCGAGGCGACAGCGACGATGTTGATGATGAGCTCAGCTCCCCTGCACGCTTTGTTTTGGACCAGCTGAAATGAGGTGTTTGTTGATGACGAAAGCTCAGGATTTCACTTAATCTCAGATCAAAGGGACAAAATGTTGCTTTTTGGAGTAAAGTTGTGTTCAATTCTACAAAACAAGACACGACAATTCAGTCATTTATTCTGGCTGATGGATCAGATTCAGTCCAACACATGTTATTTGTGATTAATATAACAGCTGAAAGACGGTCAGTTAAGGCAGAACTTTTGCTTCCATCTGCTGTTGTATTTGACCTTCCATCACTAAATGCACATGTCCATCAGTGTATGTTCCTCTTAATGTGACAGTGGAGTTGACTGTTCGATGTGTTACAGCAGTGTGGATGTGATGAGAAGAGGGGACGTCACCGCTGATGCAGATACATGTATAAAGACATCTCTATTAAACAAGATTCTTTATATTGAAATTAAAGTAAAAATTACCCTAGTGTTAAGTACATTATTTTTATTTTTTATTTTTACTCTTCATGACAAAAAAATCACTTAAATAAAATAAAAACTAAACAATACTGTATATTATTATGATACTGTTGTGTACAGTATCTGCTCTTGTGGTACAAGTTGTCTCGTTACCCTCAAATACTGATTTGAAGAAAGATGTCTGGTAATTTTTTTTTATTTTTTTAACAGGATAAAACTGAAATGATTGTATTAAGCCAAAATGTTTTTACTTATTTTAATGTTTGCTAACATGGTGGACCTCTTAGTTAAGCATCTTATTCCTTTCTCCATTTACAGCCTCCACGTAAGCAGTAGAGATAACTGTTAATAACTTGTAGTTTGTATGCAGATGATACTCAATTAGGCAAAGGCAACAACATACCACATTACATTAAGATAAACTCCCTGACTTTCTTCTTGTTACGCAAATTCCATAATCTTGTATAACCTTAAATGTTTTATCCCCAAACTGTCATAGCGTCTTAATGAATTCCTTTTACCTAATCAGAGACACATTACAATTAGATTTGCATACCAAGATATTTCATTAAGGCAAAGTTATAATGAGAAAACATTAACATCATTTGTGTGATTGATCATATTGACACTTGACAAAATGTCTGAGAAATGGTGTCAAGACAGTTTGGTTCAGCTTTATTGTAAATATACAACACAGGATTGCATGAATAAATACTGCCTCCTCTATGCTCCACACACGGAACATGTCTTAACACATTTTTTAATAATTGAAAGTACAATAAAACAAAGGCAATGAAATATATCAAAGCATTTAAAAGAAGCACTAAAGGAAGAAATAAAAAGGAAAACTAAATTTACAAGGAAGAATCAGAAATACTTTATTGATCCCCAAGGGGAAATTCTTGTCACAGTTGCACACATTGCACATCAAGGAAAATGACTAATAATAGAAGTTGGACCAAGATACAGAGTTGTTATATGTTGTCTAAACTTTGAATAAATAAAATACAGTCCAAAACTGGAAAAATTATGATTAAAATCAGGAAACATCAGTTCAAAGAAGAAGTCAACAAGATCATGAATCTGCCCAGAGATTTGATTTCAAAGGTTCAGGACCAGCACACTTTTTGGGTACTAGATACTACAGATGCAGTACCAGCGCGTTCTATCATTTTCACTCAGGAGTTTCATATTCAGGAACAGAAAAACTAAAACAGACCCAAAGATGGCGACTTAAATGTATCTGCGTCAGCGGGGGTCACGACCCGAGCAACACAAATGTTAAAGAGATAATCAGGTTCATTAAGGTGGCCGTCACGTGGTTTGACATCACCACACAGTGACAAAATGTGGAGTGGTCGTACACGATGAGTGTCCTGGCTGAGTGTTGCATTGTGGGATGGGCCGGGAGGACGCAGTGATGTCACAGATTCAGGCTGGTGGTTGTAAATGAGACAGAGCGGCCATTGACATCCGGCAGCAAACAGACTCTTGTTGTCCTCCAGAGAGACAACGGGACACTTTCTGAAGGGCTGCATGATGCATTAACTCTGTGTTCAGCACTAATGTGAAGCTCTCGACGCTCTGTGCCTCTTTACTAATGGAGCACCATCTTCTGTCCCCAACCTGTCGCCCCCTGGTGTCTGTTTTTCTTTATTTTTTCTTGTTTGTATTTTTATTTTATTTTTTATTTGAACCCCCTTCAGGCGAAGAAGCCTCTTTGCCTTCCTTACCCTACTGCCATCCTGCCTTTGGACTGACTATCTTTTGGCTTTTTATATTAATCCTTGGTAAGTAAGCACTTGCTGGCCAAAAACACTTCACTTCAGGGGCATGTCTTAGCAGAGCCACAGTATTGATCAGAGACATTGTTTTACTTTCCATTTGAACCTACGTGACATCAGGGCAGAGCCACCGGATAATCTCTGGATCCAGAATTAAAGGATAAGTCTGGTGATATTCTATATTTTTCCGGTTGCAAACAAATCTCATGGAAAGACCAGAACCAACTTTGTATTTACAGATGTGGGTGTACCTCAGGGCTCAATTCTGGGTCCTATTCTTTTCTTTATTTACATGCTTCCTCTCAATTAGTAGACAAAACTCAAATCATATTTATGCAGATGATATGCAGTTGTATTTCAATGTCATTGTTAGTGATACTATTTGTCTCATTTCTCTCAAATATTGGGAACATAAAAATAAGTGTTAGATGTTGCTTAATTTGACTGAGATGATTGAATTCAGGACAAATATTTTTACACTTTTAGGAACGGTATCTAATAAACAACTCCCTTGAAAAGACCAAACCCAACTCTACATTTACGTATGCGGTGTACCTCATGGCCCCATTCTGGGTCCAATTCTTTTCTACGTTTCCCCTTAATTAGTAGAGAAAACACTGAATATTTATCACATCATATTTAGGCAGAAGATATTCAGATATATTTCCATGTCAGCGTTGGTGAGACTAGTCGTCTTATTTCCCTCAAATATTGGTTAGCCCACCTGAAAATAAGTGTTGGCTGTTGCGCAATTTGACTGAGATGATTGCATTAAATTTTACGAATGGCATCTCAGCCACAATCCCTTGAAAACACCAAATCCTACTCTGTGTTTATAGATTAGGATTTTCATGGCTGAGTCCCTACTTTTACATTATTCCCCTTGGTCAAATAAGTAGACATACAATATCTTCTTTTTATACAGATTATACTTAATAATTCCTGTCAACCCTTGTGATACTAGTCGTCTGGTTGCCTCCGAGTGGAAATGAAGGCTTAACGAGAATCAGATTGTTTTGTTTATCCCAAATGTTTTCACTATTTTCAAGAAATCGCATCAAAATACCACAACCAACAATGCATTTACGTGACATGGTGTATTTCAAGGTGCTATACTGTGCCCTGCTCTATTTACATGCTCCCTACAGAAGCAGCTGTTCACTGGGATGTAATATTTAGCTCAAAAATAAGATGCATGCTCAATGTCCGCACTAAATTATGTTTGTGTTACTGAATAATTTACCCTTTTTAAAAATATGGCTTATATTTAGCACGTAGCTTTACACACTGAACACAATATCAGACATAGAAGAGATTTCTTAAAATTTTTATTTTTAGTACGTAAAAGTCAGTTTGTTACCTACCAAAGAATTTACTCAACTTCTCTTAATATTAAATCTGATGTTCCACAAGGATCTATTTTAGGGCCCTTATTCTTAGTGCACAAATGTGACCTACCATATCTTTGTAAAGTGGCATCTCATGTTGTCTGCAAATAGCATATTAGATGCTGTAGGTACGCCTTTGCCGTACTGGACACTGGGTAGTAGCCTACACCAACGAAGAAGTTGTTGAAGCTCAACAAAGTGGAGCATAGAAACCCCACCGCCAAACGTAACAACTGCAGAGCGACAGACACCAACGCAGAAGTATAAATTGGACTTAAGGCAATTCATTCATGGCGACAAATAACTACAAGGTCACTGAAATTGAGCCTTGTAGGACATCAGATTTATGCCAGTGCTCCAAGAAATTCGATGTCTCCTAAATCAAAAATCAAATGTATCTGTAATTATATGAATAGTGTACTTGAGGTAGGAGCCACTTCAATACAATTCCTTGGAGTTATATCATCTACCAAGAAATTAATTTGTTTTCTCTTAACATGAAATCTGGTGATCCACAAGGATCCCTCTTAGGGCCCTTGTTGTTCTTCATTCACTTGTAAAAATGTTCTCTAGTGAGTATTTGGGGCAGCAGGACGGTGTTTGTGGGACAGAGTCAGAATAAACTACAGTGTGTGTGTTCATGGTAATGATGATCATGTGACCCAGTGCAGAAGCGAGGCTCACCGATGGGTTTAATAGTTCCTGTGGCTCAGAGGAAGAAGAGACATCAGAAACATGGGATTTAAGGACAAATAAAAAATATAGAATATCACCAGACTTTAACACTTGAAAGCTGCATTTTGAAATTAAAAATCCTATTAAACTCCAGTTTGATTAACGGGGAAACAAGAAGAGGATTTGTCTGAACTTTGTCTTGCAATGCTGTGTCTGTGGTTGAACTCTCAGTCTGTAGCTGTACTCTCATCTGTAGCATGATGCTAACTGTTGGCGCTAACTACGGCTTTGCTCCATGTTTGGTGTCTGCATGCTGACTTGTCTTTCTCTTTTTGTTGATTTTCACTTAAGAAGTAGACTCTCAGTATGTAGTGCTGCTTTTAGTTGTCTCCCGTATATCCTGTTAGACACAGATGTTATAGTGCATGCTGCTGGTTAAAGATAAACTGGCTGACTGTGTTACTGAACCCCCCCCAATCTGGAAATATGAGAGGAGGTTTTGGGGATTTGGGGAGATGTAACGCAATCAGAGAGTGAATCTTGGAATGCAAACAGAGAAGCATGAAGTGTAGAAGTATTTTAAATGTTAAATGGCTGCATGTTTGATATGAAGGTGTCTCCATAAAACAGGAAACAGTTTGTTTGAGATTAATAATCACGAGCATGATATTGAGAAGATCACGCTAAAGTTCTGTTTACTAGGGTTCGACCGATGGACTGGCTTCTTTTTATGGAAGTTGATGGCTACCAATGTTCAAATGAAATCATTTTTATCAAATTGAAATTTCACTGTCTAAACTAAACTAAAACTTTAGATTTATTTTCAATTTTATGTTTAAAAAATCCGCAATTACTCCCAAAATGAAAACTGTATTTGCAAATGTTTTACAGTGACCTCTGAGCTTAATATTTACATAATAGTCGTAACAAAGCTCAATATGAGTTTATTTTGCTTTTTACATTTTCCAATTGACAAACATCTTGAACTTGGCCATGATACTAAGCAGTGTCTAAGATTTTAGTCCTGATTTTAATTTCGAAAGAATTCTGCCAGGTCTGAAATTGGGTCATAAATGAAATCTAAGTTTGCAATTTACAGTTAAAATGTTTTATAATTTACAAATGAATATATGTTTTTGTTTCTGTGCATACATAATGCCCACAGAAATGGAAATTTACATTTTAATTTGATTTGAAGTGATTTCATCTTAATATCTGCAGCCATGGACATGGTGCCAATCATCAAATTAATTTTAAAGAATTTACTTTTATGTTGAATTTAAACAAATCACCATCAGTAGAGTCTTTGTTGGTCAAACCCTAATGCCTGCACATCTAAAGGTTGTGAACAGTTAAGTAGTATTACTATAATGTAGTATAATGTAATATATAATGTAGTTTCACTGTAGGATGGTTGTCAGTTATCACGGGAAACTGACATGTTTGTATTTTATAGGAGCAAGACAGCTTTAAAGAAACGGAAGCTAACAAGGTAACAAGACTAAACATGTGGCTCTCAGTCTGTGTGCTTCATCTGCCTGTGTTTTTATTTCTTTATTTTATTTATTTATTTATTTATGTTGTGTGTGTGTGCTGCCAACGCACTAATAACAGCCTTCAGCCAGAAACCGAGAACATCCAAACTGTTTAATCCAGCAGATTAAAGTGAAACTGAACCAACAGCAGAATTTTTAACATTCAGTCAGGACGAAACTCGACCCCAGACAGAGTGAGGGGGACATACGGATGTATATATACAGGGATTTGACGATAATGCATGTAAATACAAGACTGTGTATAAAAACACAATACACTTTGGTCCCCACTGGAGAGGTTAAAGGGTCAAATGGATAATGCCTTTCTGTTAAATCTCTTTAAATCCCCTCAGGGTCAGGAGCAGAAGTCACATTTCTAACATTTTTCATTTTTTAAATCGACAGCAGCGAGTGCTCATCGTATATATGTGAATTTAAAAGATAACAGGAAGGTTCACGGTGTCATTACAAATAAAACTGTCTGTAAATTTAAAAGGAAATCTGTTGTTTAGATTATGATATTTCGTGTATAAAAGTGGACATTTGTGAGATATTTCATCCACTGTGGAGTTAAAAACAATGGTATGAATATGATTTGTGAAGTAGTGAATTTTAACCTGCGTCATGTTTATATCTGTGTGTTCTGACATGTTGCTGTCTCGTTGCAGTCCTGTGCAGCTGGACGACTTCGACGCCTACTTCAAAGACATGAGCAAAGACTCGGCCTACAAGTTCTCGCTGCAGTTTGAGGTAACTGCATGCAGGAACACTGCTGCATCATTTATATCGAGCTCCATAAACAACTAATCTACTGTTCGTTTGTCAATCAGTTATTAAGTGGAGCCATTTTCCTTCAGAGCTGCAATAGTGAGTAAATAGTTTACAAAAGAAGTTTATCATAAATTTAAGAGATAAGTATCACAAAACTTTAAACAATATTAAACCCTAGACTTCCCGAAAAACAAAGGCCACGAATTGAACCTGAAAAACAAGAGAGGAAGGTTAAACAGCAACAAAAAATGCTTTTTATCTTCCTCTATACCGCTCAAACGTTTTAAAACTTTTTAACTCATTATTTGACCCCTGAAAATAGTTTCTCTCTGAAATTTACATTATTTCTCAGTTTTTCTCACCTAAACTTTGTCTTTACCTGCTTTGGTTATTCTGCATTAGTGGATTTAAATAAAGCATTTAAACACTTTTCTACAGAAAGCACCTTGGAACAGCCTGTTAATACACCCTCAGAAGCTTTATTACTATATTATATATAATAAAGGAAGACAGAGCAGCTGGGCATCAGGTGAGCCTACAGTGAAATAATGAACAAAACTTCATTTAATTGTTAATTTTAGATGTCTGTTTTGGTGATGTAAACATTGTTTTCAACTTTACTTTTCTACTATTTAAGGTTTTCATACACTTGAACTACTTAGATTTACAGAAGAACTATAAACATTTATATTTACAAACAAGCTAGAAAAGACCGTTAGTGGAACTTGAGCTCAAGTATCTTTTATTGTCGTATGAAACAACGCCCTGAGCCACGTGTGTCGAATATAGCGCACAGTGGAAGTCAAATAGAGTAAACTAAAATAGTTGTAATCTAAAAATAGATATTTAAAAAAAAAAAAGAATCTAGTTCACAGTACAGAAGATAAATATAAAGGTATTTAGCAAATATTTACACACAGTTATCAGTACAGGGCTGCAGTTTCTCTGACTGGGCCTGATGAAGCTCTGCAGATTGTCTGACATGTTGAATGTTTTCAGGAGCTGAAGAGCGTCGGGCTGGATCTTTCCCATGATGCAGCAGACCTGCCCGTCAACAGGCCGAAGAACAGATACACCAACATCCTCCCCTGTGAGTCACCGACAGCGAAGCATCATGGCTGAAAGAGGAGAACCTCAGTATTCACATCGGGCTTTTTAAAACACAACATGAAGCTGGTTTTGTTCAGTTTGTCTGCGTCAGCGTTGTTCATGTCGCTGTAACTGTGGCGGCCTTTGACTCTCTAAATGTCTCCCTCCAGACGACTTCAGTCGGGTGAAGCTGATCTCGATGCACAACGACGAAGGTTCAGACTACATCAACGCCAACTACATCCCTGTGAGTTACAGCCGACCGACGACTGAAGGATGATTTCAGTCAGTGTTGAATAATTAAGGCAGAAACATCGTTTCATCGTGCACTGGTCAACTTTGGTCGAGATTTTGCTTCCACACCATGTTTCCTTTCTGACTTGTGGAAGAAAAAAATGCTAAATACACATGTGGTAGATTATTTCACTACAGTTTGTCGCTCTCTCTTGCACAACACTGTCTGATCCAAATATGGTCTTTTCCTTTGTACCAGAAACCAATCGTGAAAATACAGAGGCGTTTCTGACAACCTGATTGGCTGAGATGCGACACTTTGGCTCAGCCTGTGTGACATGCTGTTGCTCATATCTGATTGGCTCTGTAAATATTGATTTTCACTGAAAATGTGTAGAATTTTAAAAATACATGTCTTTACAAGCTGTTTTCATATTTAAACATACAATTTCAGAAAACCTGTAATACAAAAAAATATAGTCTTAATTTGAGCAATCGACTAGGAAAGTTTCATGGTGATATCTGTTAATTAAATATTTATTCCTATTCAGCTGCAGCGTCTCGCCTGAACTCCAGCTGCTTCGTTTTCCATCGTTAAATCTTGCTGTGTTTTATTGACCAATGTTATCTGTGTGTGACAGTGAAAGTGTGTGTTTGGTCTTCAGGGATATAAACATGCTAAAGAGTACATCGCCACTCAGGGCCCGCTGCCCGAAACCCGTAATGACTTCTGGAAGATGGTTCTGCAGCAGAAGTCTCCGATCATCGTCATGTTGACTCAGTGCAACGAGCGGCGGAGGGTGAGTTTCATTTCTGCTTTCTGTGCTGCAAAGTAAAGAAGTACATTTATAGTTTATAAAAATATTTTGTTATAAATTAAACTCATAATTAGTTCGTACAGCTCAAACAATGAGTCGCCTAATCAATTTATTGGCAGAAAATTTATTGGAAACATTTGTTGGGGTTCAAGGAATCCAAAGACAGAATAAAAGCCTTAAAATGAAATAAAGGAGCCATATCAGCAGTGGAAGAAGTACTGAGTCAAAGCTGTAATACTACCCAGTGAAAAACCTCATTCAGTGTTTAACTTGAACGTACAGAAGTATTAACATCAAAGAACACAATAAAGTATTGAAGCAGCTGTAAAGGTGGAGTTTGACTAGTAACAACTGATTAGATACTAGTGCTCGATTCTTAGATTCTAGTAACTAATGAAAAGCTGATATCTGAACTGCAGAGCCCGGTGGATGGCAAACATGCGCAATTAGTCACTAGTTATAGTTACCAGTGACTAATAAATCCAGTAAGTACGAGTAGCTTTAAATAGCGAGTAGTATGTTGAAACGGCTCGCCATAGCTGGAGCTCGTTTTAATGACTTTATATTTGGCATCAGAGTTGTTCGCAGTGGTGGAAGAAGAATTCAGACCCTTAAACAAAAGTACTAATACCACACTGTAAACGTTTTCTGTTACAACAAGTTCTGCATTGAAAGTGTTCCTTCGGTCAAAGTAGGGCTGGGCGATACGGCCAAAAATGTTTTCTTTATGATCAGAACGTGACAAACAATTGATAGTGAATCACTTCACAAGTCTGAGGGAGAACATTCAAAACTATTGTGATAAAATCTTTTTTTCAACAGATATGATTAGTAAATCTTTTTTCAGACCCTTCTCCTCAACAAAATAAATATTCTAATAGAAATATTAACTGCTAATTTGTTTGTGATTTAAATGAATTCAATCAAATATTTATTGAACATTTGTTTTTTTTGTTATTGAGGAAAATTATATTGCGATAATTATCATTATTGTTTAATTGCCCTGGACGACTTTGACGCCTACTTCAAAGACATGAGCAAAGACTCGGCCTACAAGTTCTCGCTGCAGTTTGAGGTAACTGCATGCAGGAACACTGCTGCATCATTTATATCGAGCTCCTAACAACTAATCTACTGTTCGTTTGTCAATCAGTTATTAAGTGGAGCCATTTTCCTTCAGAGCTGCAATAGTGAGTAAATAGTTTACAAAAGAAGTTTATCATAAATTTAAGAGTTCACAAAACTTTAAACAATGTTAACAAAGTAAATCAATAATCAATTTTTTGCCAAAAGCGAGCAGCCATATGTGAGTATAATCAAAATGTCGCTGTTGTGCTGTAATATCTCCTCAGATTCCTCCTCATTAATGTTGAACTGCAGCTCATTCTGAACCGTTCAGTTTCAGACTGCAGCTGATGATTCTTTTCATTCTGGATCATTAAATTGATTGATTGGTTTGTAAAGATTCTGCCGTCACAGTGAGCCAGAGCCCAAAGTGACTCCTTCACAACGCTCGTTGAGTCCAAACCTCAATGTTTCTAACAAACATTACAGTTATTAGTCACTCAGAGGAGAAGCAGCAAATCTTCATGAGAGACGCTGAAACCATCAGATGTTTTACAGGGAAAACGACTAAAACAATCAAAATACTTGCCAATAAATTTTCGGTCAAGCAGTGAATCGTTTCAGCTGTACTGGTGTAAAGTGTTGGGAGTTTAATTTATAACAACACATCAGCTGTCAGATAAATGTAGTAAAGTAAAGAGATGTGGTGGAGTAGAAGTAGAAAGTGGCATGAAAGGAACATAAAGGAAAGTCAAGGTACCTCAAATTTGTACTTGAATACAGTACTTAAGGAAGTGAACTTGTGCACCACTGTGGTTACTCACTGATATCTAGTGTGTTAATAATACTTCCTAAAGCTGACAGATAAACACAGTTTCCTCTGAGATGTAGCGCAGTAGAAGCAGAAAGCAGCATAAAATGGAAGTACAGTGCCTGAGTAACTGTAGTGTCACCTACTCAGATGTTTCATTTAGGTTGTACAGAAGATTTCTGATTTTTGTCTAATGCATTTTAGTTTTATTATCATGATAAATCAAGTCACAGTAAAATAAAAGAAGCTCTCACAGAGAAATGTCACGTTTTCAGCCTCTCTCAGCTCCTGGTTTACATTTTAAAACCTGTTTTCCTGATCAGCTGTTTGATCACATGATAGACAAATAAATATGTCAGCTTGTTCTGCTGCCCCCGAGTGGACAAAACTACTAATGCAGCTTTAAATGTCTGATTAATAAACATATCTGCTGATCTCAGAGTGGGCTGGAAAATAAAACAATAATGATAATTTACGTGATAAAATTTCCCTCAATAGCAAAATAACAAATGTTCAATAATTTTATTTTATTTTTAGTTAGTTTTTAAAACACACAAACTTTTACCATTTTATTTAATTGTTTTTTTTATTTTTCCCACAAACAGTTTAATATATATTTATTATTATTATTATTATTTAAAAAAAAAAATATTTTTTATTTTTAAATCATTTTTAACACACACTTTTACTTTTATTTGTTTTATTTAGTGAACTGTATAAAATGAATTTTTTTGTAATTTATTTGTAGCTTTGCAATATTGTTGTTTTAGATTTATGCTGATAAAGCTAGAATCACAAACGAATCAACACTTCATTTTTCTATTAAGAGATTGATTTTGTTGAGGAGAAGGCCTTGAAACAAAATTTTACTTGTGCATATTTGTTGAAAACGGATTTTTTCATCATAGTTCTGAATGTTCTGCCTCAGATTTGTGAAGGGATCCACTGTTTGGCATCGAGTGTTTGTTCTGACCAGAAAGAAAAGTTTAAAACCACAATTAACTTTCACTCAGGAGCAAAAATCCGCCTTTAAACTGGAAAGAAATAATGATTTGACGTTTATCCTGATAAATGATATTTTTTATCGTGACCACATTTTTGGCCGTATCACCCGGCCTTAGAATTAAACGCGTGTCGTGTGTTTCCAGGTGAAGTGTGATCACTACTGGCCGTTCACAGACGAGCCTGTGATGTACGGAGAGATCAGCGTGGAGATGCTCTCTGAAACAGAGTCTCCGGAGTGGACCACCAGGACGTTCAGACTGGGATATGTGAGTAACCAGTTCAACCTCAGGGTGAAAGCTGCAGGTCCTCCAAGCTGCTCTAAAATAAAACACACCGTACATGTGTTTCCTGTAAGACCCGGTCTTTGCCTCCCCCTGCAGGCCGACGAGACTCAGGAAGTCCTCCACCTCAACTACACCTCGTGGCCGGATCACGGCGTCCCCACGGTCAACGCCATCGAAAGCATCCTGCAGTTCGTGCACATCGTCCGCCAGCAGGCCAACAGGACCAAAGACCCCGTTATAGTCCACTGCAGGTCAGGACGGGATTCTGAAGTATCGTACGGAGCTCACGCAGTCCCGAGAAAATAAATCTGGATATTATTTTTTTAAAGTCATCTTTTGGGGATTGGTGAGCTCCGTAAATAAGTTCATGCAAGAGGCCCGTGGACCCGTTGTGATGTTTTTACACATCAGAAAACAAAACGTATGGCTTCAGAATGAAGAGGCAGCTTTACTCAATTTATAAATTAGTTGTCAACTATTAAATGAATCACCAACTATTTTAAAAATAGAGTAATTTTTCAAGAAAAAACCTTCCAAATTCTCTGATTCCAGCTTTTTAAATGCGAATATTTTCTGGTTTATTTCCTCCTCTGTGACTTTAAACTGAATATTTTTGGCTTTGGGAAACACTGATCGACATGTTTCTGACATTTTATAGACCAAACAACTTAGCGATGACTGAATTGAGAAAATAATCGTTAGCTGCAGCCCTGAACTAGTGAGGTGAACACGTTAGCTCGTCAGAGGTGGCGCTGGAACAAAGTCAAAATTGAAAGAAAACAGAAATCTTCTGTACGGTGGCCATTTTAGGACACAAATTAAATAGTCAAATTATTTAATTTATGCACGTGAATCTGAAACATTACATAGAAGTTGTGAGGTTCACTTTTAATAAATGCTGTAAGTTCATCTTGGTTGTTATTCAGCATTTTTATTTGCACAGATCAGACTCACAGAGCAGGAAGACGAAATCTCATCTCAGCCATAAAAATGCAATTAGATGATGTAATGTGCATTATGTCATCCATTTCACTCTGGCTGCGGCCGGCGTCGTGGTTCGGACACTAACAGCAGAGCTTTTCTGTGTGCGCTCAGTGCTGGAGTCGGCAGGACGGGGACCTTCATCGCTCTGGACCGTCTGATGCAGCACATCCGGAGCACGAGTTTGCAGATATCCTGGGGATGGTGTCCGAGATGCGTTCACACCGTCTGTCGATGGTCCAGACCGAGGTGAGATCTCATCGTGCCAGAATACTTTGAGGGCGTTTTCACACCTGTAGCTGAGGTCTGTGAAGGTTCTCAGTCATTCAGGTCGTAGTGACCCAAGGAAGGTTCAAATCAAGGGCGACCCGGGCAAAGATACTCGAAGACGCTGATTCAGTTCTGACTGGCTGGTAGGGAAACTCGGCTAGTTAACCTCTCTTTTGTTTTGTCAAGATGATCAGTACTGCAGGTTCGTTACTGCGTCTGGATGTTGTAACTACAGCCTTTATGATCGTTGGAGACTCCTGAGCCCAAGTCTGAACGACCATCGTTTGCATCTTCACCTTGCAATTACACCCGGGTTGAGAAACCGTCACTTAACAGGGGAGGAGGTCTCAGATTCATGGCTCAACACAGAAAGGCCAACTCCTCGAGTCAAGACTCAGCAGTTTACCTTTTCCTCGTTTGAGGAAGTCCAGGAAGCACTTTTGGCCTCAGGTGAAGATGCCAACAATGGTTTTTCAGACTTTGGATGGTCAACAGCCAGGAGCCCTAACGAACCAGCAGTATCGACCATCTTGATGAAACAAAACAGAGGTTAATTAGCTGAGTTTCCCTACCAGCCAGTCAGAACCGAAGAAGTCTTTTGGATAAGGAACGAAACATCTTCGAGTATCTTCAATCCGGTCCGGTTGCCCTTGATCTGAACCTTCCTTAGGCACCTGTAGCTGGTTCCTTCTGGTCTGAATCAGGGGTTGAACTTCGGTTTCTTTTCACATCGAAGAAAATTCGAGAGAACAAAAGTGCCTCAGTAAAAGCCTGGTGAGACCATCCTCTCATCTGATTGGTTAGATGCGTCTCAGGGACCGGAGAGAGTTAGTTATCCAAGGAAGGTTAAAATCTCAGATGAAAGACGAAACGTCTTCGAGTATCTTTAACCAAGTCCGGTTACCGTCCTTTGATAACCAGGGGAAGAAGCCCAAATATCAAGAAGCTAGTCCAGGTTGGCTTCCTGATATTTGGGCAGATGACAAATGTTTTCTCATTCGTATCCCAGGATGCAAAGCACACCTTGTTACGACAGCTGTTCGCCTTGTGGTTGGGTCGGAGGGTTGTTTTAGTCCACATATGATGTCACAGATTGTACTGAAAACAAACCTCTTGATTCAACCAGACGAAACCGCGCAGGTTTGAAAACGCCCTTAAAACGAACCTGAAACAGTTCCTCTCACACGCCGTCTCTGATTGGTCCAATGGTGCGTTCAGCTCACAGATATAAGTGTTTCTTCTCTCCAGGAGCAGTACGTGTTCATCCATCAGTGCGTTATGTTGATGTGGCAGAAGAAGAAGCAGCAGTCCATCACCTCTGATGTCATCTACGAGAACGCCAGCAAGACATAATGATGGCGCCTCCTCCAGACGTGAGTCGGACACACACGAACAGAAGCAACATTCCATGTTTGTGTCTCGACTTTCGGTCCAGTTTGTTCACTAATGGGTTTTTAAAGAATTAATATTCGCCGCACAGATTAGAAGAGTATTTAATATAAAGTCAGCTGATGACACAACGACATCACCGGCTCGTCCTACAGGAAGAAGGTCAGCTCTTACGTCCGGCAGCCTCTGGCTTGGTCACTCTCTGCTTAGCGTCCTCGTCGGTCTCTTCACCTCTGCATGTAGCTAACGCCACGTTATGTAAGAAACTCACATTGTACCTTCTAAACTTTTTGCTGCTGCTTAGTCGAACTGATGTTGTGAAGCAGGGGTCGGAAAATAAGTCTTTCAGGCCGTTACATGTCGGGCCAGAACAAAGTCAAATTATTTCATTACCCGTGTGCACGTTTAGCTCAGTCGGTACTGTGCGGGAGTTCTATGATCGATCCCGACACACTGCAGATGTTTTTTTTCCTCCCTCGTTAAACAAACTGAAGGACACTTTTGCACGTGCTCACAGTAAAGCGTGAGCTGCAGTGTGCGTTTGCGTCCCGGCGTTTGATCCGCATTCATAAACCTACAGACGCTTATTTTCATTTCCCTGAGGAAGTCAATCCAATCAAGCGTTTACTGTCGGCTTTTACAGAGGTGAGTCAAGCACGCCAGAGTCTCTTCTGAAAGTTTCTTTTGCTCAACGACAGACGCCACTCGCCCTGCTAGAAGTTAGAGTAGCATCAGAACAATTTTTAAAGCTGATAAAATCACAACAAGTTGCTTTAATGCTAAATATAATTTAAATAGAAACTTTGGTTGCTGACACGTAAAGCTTAGACTTCACTTTCTAACTCCCCCTGTTTAGCATTAACATTATGTATTTATCTTAAAATAACAGCTTCCTTTTGTCTGTCATCACCAGCTACTGCGCTATTTAGCACTGGAGTCCCGGGCAGGACATTTATAACGACGTTGGTATCTTCAGTATTAAGAGGTGCGTTTGACGCTCCAAAACGCCACCATGTCACATGACATTAAAACCTCGCGGCTGCAGACACTGAGTCTGGCGGCTGCAATTGCTTTTCTCCAGCTGCACAAAGTTGGAACCACCTTTGCCTGATCTCGTGTCATTTTTCTTCGTAAATGCCGCGAGATCAGTCGTTGATCTCAGCTCACAGTAGCTCACGCAGGTAGATTGGGTCCGACTTGACGGCGCCGTATTTACACCCCGCCCCTGCAGCTCACGTTAGACAGGATAGGTCGGCAAAAGTCAGCCACCGTCATTTCGAACGCACGTGATATCGTGGCAGAGGAGGAGGAAGTGAGCAAGAGACCGGACATGAGTAAATATCAGACTTTACTTGTTGAGACCGATGGCGAGCTGGACTTCTGTCTGTGGGACCGGTCGGTAATAACTTATCAGCTGCTCGCTGTGTGGTGTTGTTGTTGTTGCTCTTGCTTGATGTTTGGCTGTTAGCAAAGTTAATCAGGCAGAAGTCTCACATTTCTGTGAAGTGAACTCCTCCTGTAACTTATATCAAACAAAAATAGTCAGTCCTCGTGGTAAATTCACACTTTGTTCAGTTTCAAAAGCAAAACAAAGCTCTCACACAGGAAAGTTGATCAAACTAAATCAGTTCAAAGAGAAATGGTTCAACTCGAACACCTGAATCTCTGAAAGAAACGTGTGAACAGAGTCAGTCAGCGACTGTGCACAGCTGTTCATTATAAGCCAAACTACCTTTCCTTTCCCGCTGGCCAGCAGTCGCGTTCACGGCTCTGATAAAACGTGAAATGACCAGATGACTGTCACAAAATGTTCAGTTGGGGTTTCTTTGAAACCTGCAGAGCAACAAACAAAAACTTCATCCGTTCTCTCAGTTTTAAGCCCATTAGAACAGAGCTGATAATTAAATGTCCCTTCTCCTTGTCTTGCAGGCTGCGAACACACCCAACCTCCTGTGCTTCAGGCATCCATTCTCTGCAGAAGAAGATCTGCTTCATCATCAGTAAAATCAGAAAACAAAAACAGCAGAACATCTCGACGACACAGGCGGAAGAAGGGGGAAAAAAACCCAGTTTTTTGTTTGAATTGGTGTTAAAGCGTGGGATGGAGTTTTGCCTTAAGGAGCCTTTCACTGACTGACCAACATGTTGAACCACAACCCTGCCCTCTGAACTGGACTGCTTCATGTCAACGTGGGGTCGGAGGAGTCGGAGGGGCGTTAACGAGCTCCGTCCTGTGATTGGATGTCTACACTGTGTCCGTCCTCGTTCTGACGACGCGAGACGACGAGTCTGTGGAGCCGAGTCAGCAGTTTTTCATTTTATTTAATCTCAGGAGTAGCTGGAAAAAAAAAAAAAAAAAACCAAACAGCGAGCACACTGGCCTCTTCCTCCGCTTCGAAAGTCATACATCATTTGTTTTTGGTTTTATTTGCATCGTTAAGTGTTCACCTTCCCCGCAGAGTGCAGCTTTCCTGGCTTTTTGCGACGTCGGGAGTCGTAGGCGGTAGATTGCAACGTCACACTGCCAAACACGCCGAACTCTTAACGTGATTAAAAACACCTCCTGCTGTAACGTGCTAACCAACTGCCAGGACTGCTGCACAGACAACGTTCACTGGAAGAACCCAGCAAGCATTCGACGAAGGATCAAGTTCTGGAGAATGAGCACAAAAGTTCACACGTCGGGATGTTGAACGGATTTTTAAAACTTGATGATTTTTTTTTTTTAATCGAACACAAAACATTAATCGTGATTGGAGCTTTCCAAACATTATGTTTCTGTCCTGGTTGAAGACGCTGTCAAACTAAATTGGCGAATATAAAATTAAACACAAACGTGGTCGCGTCGCCTGGTCAGAACATCATTTGGACCATTTCTGCTGCAGACCCATCGTTCCGGTTCTCAGCCTCGAAGTGTTTTATCAGAAAAAGGTATTTTAGTATCGATGCTGCTCGACTTTTTATTACTCGTGCGAATGTTTGCTGGGTCCGCACAAGAACTAAAAAAGGGCACAAAAACAGCTGAAGGGAACAACGGCTTTCTGTGAAAACACGAGTGCCTCATGCTGCCGCCCCGTCGCTGTCGGGCGCGTTGAGGCCAGTTTAGACGCTAGAGACTGTGGTTGTAGAGCTGTAGTTTGTATTTGCACTGAGGCCTCCGAGCTGCCTGAGCTGCCTGACCTGCTGACAGAAGAAGGGAAAGAGTTTCTGACTGTCGAGGACGAACTGTACCGTCCCGTGGGCTCTTTTTAACGGAAGGACCTCGCTCTGAAGACGTAGATTAATTTTAGACTAGCGGAGAGGTTTTTTACCCTCTAAAGGTTTGTGATCTAATCGGCTGCAACAATCCTGTTTGGAAACAAACAGCAGAGAAATGGATCTGACAGTATCTGAAGACAGGAGAGAGACGATTACTCAGACAGTTGAACTGCCAAAACCACCAAGATATTATATCAAGACCTGACATCAAGTTGTTTCCCTTTATGTTGCTGAATTTGGGGAATGATAGAAACATATATCCAGGGCAACTTCAATATCTTTAATCCAACCAATTATAAAGCTGCAGCTATTTTTCATGAAATAAATAAATACTGTACAAAGTGAAAGGATAAAACATTTTAACCTGAAGAAATATTAAACTTTGGTGAAGCTCCAACAAGATCTGTCACAATCCCAATATGTGTGATTAAATGAGAACTCTCAAATTTGGGGTTTTAAATTTTTTTAGATGTTCTGTTGGGATAGCACTCCCAAACCAAGATGTTGGATAACACCCCCCAATTTGTATAGCAAGTTATGTCGTGCAGGAAAAATGTAGTATTAAAGTTCAAGTTTTTACTTCAGTGCCACAATTTGGTTACCACGAATATGAAAATGTTGGTATCGCACTCTTGTGATCGTTGACCCCAAATTATGTTACAACCCCAAGATTTGGCATCATGCCCCAAAAGATTGTAAGCCTTTGTTTTAATTCCCAAATTTTGTTTAACAAACACTAAATGTATGTAAAATTGTGGGTTTGCGCTCCTACAATTAGTTTTAATCAAAATTATTAAGCTCTGCCTAAATTTATGATGTTTTGTTATGTGCCCAAAACGTGGTGCGGCTCTGCCCAAGGTTATAAATGGCAGATCTGACTTCCACTTAAACCTGTTTGTCTTGTGTTCGTTTGGGGAGACCACCGCCAAAAAGCTACAAGGACATTTGGCTGTTCTAACAAAATCAGTGTGTTAAAGAGTCGTTTTTTGGATTTATAAAACCTGGGCCCTGTTTTCACACGTGTTGGTGTGGAAATGACTCGTAGGTACAGAAAGTCTTGGATCTGCGCAGTAGATGTTTCAGCCGGCAGCTGAACCGGCTTCTCGTTGCCGCTGACGGGCTCAGACTGCAACACCAGGTGTCTGACAACATCAGGCGAAGGATCCCTGTGAGGGACTCCCGGTGACCCCCTTCGTTTTTAACAGGAAAGTCTCGCTCTGAAATCTCGTGAGAGGCGACTTGCTGCAGGACGACGCCGGTGGAAACGTGAGTCAGATTTGGTGAGGAGAGGAAACTCCTCTCACTTTCTGTGGACGCCATTTTGACAGGAAGGAATACCTTGCAGCCGGTTCAGCTGCCGGCTGAAGCATCTACTGCGCAGACTCAAAACTTCCTGTCCATACGAGTCATTTCAACACCACAATATGTGAAAACAGGGCCCAGGTTTGAAAATACCTGAATTATGCTTTAACCCTTTAGTTGTTTCGGGGCCTGAAGCTTTGACCGTGGATCAGGCCGACTGCACATCTCTGTCTTAAACACACGACAACTGTACAGAAAATTGTTATGAGGCCGTTTTCTGAACCATCAGCATCAGATCAACTTCCAATAATTTAGTTAGTTTTTCTTCATCTTTCTACTGAACATTTGACTTGAAGGGCAAAAGACAAGTCCACATTTATTTCTCACATCCGTGATGACTGTAGAGAATGTTAACTGAACAGACGACAGTGGCCGACTTCTTTCAAAGTTTTATAGGATGCTGTCAAAATAACAACCGAGAGTTAAGAGCCGCTTTTCTTTTCACATTAGAAAGATCCAATAACTAGGACATAACTTTATTTATACATTCATAGCAACACTTATTTTAAGTTTAAATACCCACATTTCACTTGAAACGTTTTTCCAAATGTGCTAAATAAAACGTTTTTTGTGGATCAAGTTTATACTCAACAAAGTAAGGCTGAGTTTGCAGAGTTTAAATAAACTTTTTTCCGTTTTTTTTAACAAGTAACATTTAGTTTTAATTAAACTTCTCAAATGCAAATGTCTGATCAAACAAGTGGGCTTCAACACAGCTCTGCTTACAAATAATTCAAGAAAAAGCCACTTCTGAATGTGTATTATTTTGATAACAACTTGCAAATAAATGGTCAAAAATGAAATATGTCGATATATTAGAAAAGCCCAAATCTGTTATTGCACTTTTTGGTATCGTCCCTAAAATATGTTATCAAATTTCTGCACAGCACTTTTATGTTATAACTGAAACAGTAAATCCTCACAAATATTAAAATTCAGCACGCATATTATTGTTGGATAAATTCCAGAAATATCTAAAATAGTTCCAAAATCCAGTGCAGCGCCACAAATTGGACATTTTGGAAAAATTTGGTTTAATCCCAAAAGATAATTTAGCCTCTAAAATGTGTTATGAAGTAATTTAAGGACGAGGCGATACTGACTCTGTTTTGAAATGTTTTGACCACAATTTTTGTTAAAATGCCATTGGACACTTCAAAAGCTAGATGTTATAAACCCAAAGTTTGGTGTTGGTCCCAAAAGTGTTCCAGTGCTCACGAATACCAAAAATATTTGTCAAAACATTTGGCGTAGAAATATCCAAATGTATTAGAATTTAAAATATTTGGTATGGCACCCTAAATATTTAATTGAAAGAAAAGCCATTTGACACGTCACTGTCGATTTGCTAAATAATTTGTCATTGTGGCCTTTTGGTTCAAATTCTCCCTTTAAAACGGTTCTAAAAAAACCAAATAATTGAAACAGACCTCAAGTACCAAAATGAGATGAAAAGCTGCTTCTTAGTGGTGGTTGTTATTTTGACTTCACCTTGTTTCTAATTTGTAAACGGAATTGAACGAATGTGTGAAAAGGCTGTTGGACGCTTCAGTGTTTACTTGTAAAATGACTCGTCATTGTGGCCTTGTGGTTCAAACACCTGAAGTCTGTTCGGTACTTTGGTCGCCACTCAATCTGAAATAGTTACATTTCACTATTAGATATCAAATGTACTGTACATACTACTACTACTGCTTAACTATTCTGTTTCTACTCGTCATTACAAAGTAATTCTTGTGGAAGTGTTGCTTTAGAGGTTTCTTTTTTAAAAAGGTTGTCGTATATGTGAATCATCGTTACCTGAGCCAGAAGATAAGTCCTCTCGTCGCTGCGACAGTTCGGTTTTTGGGGCTTCAGCATCGACACGAGCAGCTGGACGTTCGGAGACTCGGCTGCTTGGGAAAAGCGTTGCGTGGACTCGGAGAGACTCGATCACGACTGTCAAAGATTTCCAAAAGAAAAAACTGATGACAACCTGCAGACAATATCTGAAAGCTCAGCACTGTACACTCTTCTACAATTCTTTCTCTTGCTTAGCGTGTGTCCAGTCAAACTTGTACGTCATTGGTGCCATTCTTGTGCATAGTGTCACTTAAAATTTGAGGGATGATCTGGAACACGGATCATCGTCACAGTTTTAATGTGTGTGTGTGTTGGAACAATAAAATGTTGCAGTTACTTTTGTCGTCGTTTCACTTTCTACGTATAAACTACAAAAATGTCCTTTGAATCGAGAGCTGTGTGTTCTCCTACGACGTGATTCCTGAGTTTAATTACTGACACCAGAAACACTTTTATTTATATTTATTATTTGAGGCCTGAATGATCTGAATATCTAATAAAGCAATTTAAATTGTGGTTGGTTTACATAAAAAAAAAACAAAAAAAACGACAAAACTTTACAAATTTATTTTGTTTATTTTGAACACAATCTGATAAAATAGCTTAAATATCTGTTTCAGTCCACCAGTCATATTTAAACAGCACTCAGTAATATTTGAATAAAATAAAAATCTAAAATTCTAAATGTATTTGTTACAATCCTATAATTGGATAAGAGCACAAATTTTGTTTAACCTTTCTGACATTTTACAATAAAAAAAATTGATACTGCAATGAATTACAAAACATGCTACTTTGTGCATGGTTTTCATAAATACAGATTCTAAATAGTTTATTTAAACTTAAAAAACAAATCTTTATAGGAAAATGTTTATTCATGTTTAGCTTTATTAAAGTAGTTTATTTGGTTATGTTTAATTTTAATTAAACTAATCCAATGCAGTACAATTAAACATTTTGACATACAGGTACTTATTTGACTTAACTATTTTTATACATACATAGCAACACATGGCTTATTAGTTTTACAGGGAAGTTAATTAAAAATGATTATCCTAGTTTCATATTATGCCAACATTTTCCAAACACACTAAATAAAAAGCTTTCAAAGTTTTTGTAGAATTTTTTCATAAATACAGATTATATTTTTGTAGAAAAGTAAGAAAAGTTTTTTAATAAGCCAACGTTACATTAGTTTTACTTTATAAGAACTACATTTAGTTTTGTTTAATTTTAAATAACTAAACTTCTCAAATCAGTATAATAAAAAAAAATTAAATTGAGATAAAAGTGCACAAATTTGAAAACGTACTGCTGAAATGTAAAAACTCAATCTTGAAGGTCTCTGTTTAAAGCATTTTGTATCAACATGGAGACGATGAGTTGCCAGAAAAATTAAATTAAAGATTCCTACAGCTCATTACTTACTGCTAGCTTGGCACATGGGAAGCTAGCTGCCTATCTAAAATGTAAATGGGGAGTTTCTGATCAGCCTTCTTCGACAGTAGTAAACTGGCATGCAGAGAGCGTATTATCATCGTTAACCAGACAAAATCCTTTTTGTTTCTAACTAAAAATTAACTCTTCAATTACAAACAACAAACAAAAATGATCTATTGCCCAAGTGTCAAATGTTTTCTACAGACCATCAACTCAAAGAAGAAGAAGTCTAAACTGGTCATGGTAAAATTGTAATTTAAAGTAACAATCACTATAATAACTAAGAATAAAGTAAAGAAAATGATGAATCTTACCAGACATCCGCAGATAACTTGGCAGTTTCCCAGTCAGTACCGGAAAGGTGTTGTTTTATTGGGGAAGGCGCTACTTTGGTTTACTAAGTTTAGTTTAGGGATACACAGATCCAACTTTTTCAGTCTTGATACCGATACCTGGACTTTAGGTATTAGTATGGGAATCATTCTCTTATGTATGAGGCAACATCAGGCTGGACGTAAAACTTTAACATCTATCACTGGGAAGTTTCACCCGACAAAGTTAACTGCTTCTTCGAATTGTCCCCTTTTTTTGTTTAGTTCGTGTTCTTTGGCATGCAGCTACCCCCTCGAAACATTGGCTTTGCAGATATTGCAAGTAGCCGTAGGACTTGTTGGCGTAGCAAGCGTGAAAACTGCTGAACCCTTGTTTATAGCTCATGCCATGTTATAGCTCTAATAGCTAAACCTTCGGGGCTCCTGGTGCACTGCTGATGCATCACATAGTGCGAGCAGAATTTAACAGATCGGCCCCCTTTTCATCGATACCAGGTCCGGCTGTTGGAGTCAGTATTGAGCTGATATCAGGATCGGATCTGTGAATCCCTAGTTTCGTGCTCACGGAAAAATTCCTGCAGACTTGAAGGTCATGGAGTATAAACTCAGAGCGGACATAAATTTATTTTTGTAAATGTTTTATTGCATTATGAGCAGATTCGTATGGAAAAGGCACCATGAAAACTATACACGTACAAATGCATTTCGTAGTAAATTCTCACTAACATTTCTTTCTGATTGGCTTCTAGAACTGTTTGGGTACAAGGACAGTTCACTAAATACAGAAACTTATTAACAGTGAACTACTGAGCATTAATCATTAGTGTAATTACAGTGTTGTGCTACAGTTCAGACCTTTTCATTCATTTTTACCCTTCACACCGTTTACTTCCGTTTTACTGGCCAAGAAAATGGCCTGAGAAACGTAAGTGCTGAATTGGAAAACAATAGTCAATACAATCAATGCCACAGTGAGAATGTACTGGCTGATTTTGACATCTTTATGCAAGCATACAGTATACATACACATTTATATTTTATATATAATATTTCATCCGGCTAGTGGATGATCAGGTGGCATATTTAGTTTGTGTTGGTGTAGAAATAATTTTTTACCTACTGAAAGTTTTCACAAACTTCAAAACAGATTTTGGTTGCTGATCTTTGCAGGAGAACCTTTACAGATGAAGAGTTTTCTGTAAATTCTCAAATAAAAGCCAGTATTTGAATAATGGATTAGAGTGATAGAATTACTTTAAATATAATGTAGTGTACAGAACAAAATGATCATGTCTGGTTGTTTAGTTTTTCTATAGCAGGCAACCAGAAGACAGCAAACTAAACATTTTATAATGCAACTTCTCTCTATATTAATAAATCTTTTTTTAGCTGCTGTTAAGTTACCTCAATGACAGCTGAGCTGAATTAGACTTTCTCTGTCTGTCATAATAAAACCCAAGGTTCCTCGATCAACTATGTTTATCTTTCTTTATTCGATTAGTGATCGCTTCATAGTGATCAAAAGAAACTGCAAAGTAGAGGGATTAGTGGAACTATTCATTATGCCAAATGTATTAACAGGTAAACACAGTTTATTGTACTTGGAGAGCAGCGAAAACTAGAAATAAAGACCTGATTCTCTGCAACTGATGCAACTATTTAACAATTTTTACTATTTTGTCCCATTGTTCAACATACTGAAGCGACGACGGCATCAACGTGTTATACTTCATCATAAGCACATACTTCTATGAACATGTAACGGAAACCAAAAGCGTTCCGGTTTATTAAGTTAAAAGGAAAAGACGAATAACCTTTTTGGTTTTGCCCGGACTAAACTTTGTTCCACACTTGGTCCAAATCCAAATCACAATGTTAAAAAATGTGTGCAATAAAGTTTCACCCAACAACAAGTCGGTTTAGGTTTCCCTGTCAATCTGACATTTCAGTCGCTGAGCGGCTCAGAAAATGAATAACAGGAAGAATGTTGAAAATACGAGCTCTTGTGACTCTGAGTACGCTTGATTTTTACCTGGTTTGTATAAATGTTTTTTCACCTAATGAAGTAGTTTAAAACTGTTGCACGTAATTTAAGATTGTCTATCGTTTAGTCGTTAAATAAGATCTTGTTAACGGACTTAAACAACAAACCGTTAGCATTAAGCTTCCTGTCGCTCTGCACAGCAAATGTTTTTATCAACACGTGATGATGTAAGGCGACCAACGGGACACCTGAGGCTACCTGTTGCTGTGGGCGGAGCCTAAAGGAAACACATTCATCCTGTTTAAAGTGGGAGCGTCGCCAAGTCAGCAGACTACATTCATTTCAGTGTTTAGACGACGTTTGATGCAAAGTCGGTGGAAACTGATTTTTGCTGACTGAATAGAAAATGAATCAAAGTGCGATTCTGAATCATTTAAAGGTTTGACTCGTCGCTCACCTCCAGCAGAGAAACACATTGCGTTTTTATTACTGTGCAAAAAACGCTGATCGCCACAACTAATAACATCTGAAGAAATCTGTCTCTAACTCTAAATCACATGACGCTCATAAATTAGACATTATAAAGTTATTGTCCATTTCGAGAAAAGGATTTTATCTTCTTTTGCTTTTTCAGTTGATCAGTTCTATTACCCATTATATTAAGTTCTCTATTTAACCATAAAATAAAAAGATTACTTACTATGAATATCTTAACTCTCTTGGCCAAAACAATCTTAAATATACAGTCTATAAGTCTATTCTTGTATTTCATAGAACAATATATTCAGTCAACATTCACTTAATTTCTTTTGTTTTCTACACAAGACACACACCATCGACCCGTCAGTTATTTTAACTACCAGCCCCAGTTTGTGCCTCTTGTTTACTTTCATTACATTCAAGTCACAGAGTTCAACATTTGCATCTCGCCTCAGTTTTAAAGCCATTTTCAGAATCCTCAAACACTCTCCAGTTCCCACCAAAAGTCCTGAAAGATCTTGACACTAGAAACACTATGTAAAGTAAAATTACTTATTTATAAAGTAACGCCACGAAGCGCACAACGGACTCCTCGTCACTCTGCTGATGGGATCAATGGGATGAGGATGACTGATCATCATCCGGCCTTCGTCCAGATAACTGAAAGGACTGAAGGCCTCAGGCGACACGCAGGACCACCGAGCTGCTGGTGGATGAACCAGACGAGGAAGCAGATGTGGTTCCGGACGAACAGGTTCAAGCAACTCGTCACATGGAGGCTGGACAAGGAGAAGGCGCCTGGAGGAGGACGCCAACTGAAGAGCGGATGCATAACTTGAGTCATCATCTTGTGGGATCAAGATACCATCCGTCTGTCTTATCCATCATGCGCCTTGTGCACAAATTATAAATTGTATCTTATTCACACAAAATCTTAAAGTTATATTATTATCATCAGGTATTTTTATGTATAAATGTATTTTTGCATTATGTTGGATTTTCAAATGTCATCTGAAAATGGTGGCTCGTTAAATCAGCTGTTATCTTGAGATTACGAGGATGTTGTTTTCTCATGATAACATTATGAAGGTTAAACACCCGATATGTCAGTTTTGGCTCTTTCATCAGACCTAACGGGTTAGAAGTCTTTCTTCCATTGTAGATCGGACCGAAGAGTCTTTGAAGATTCTGGAAATCCTTGGGAAATAGCAGCAAGTGTTGCGTCTTTCAGAAAAGCCAATGCTCAACTCTCCCATCTCCAACGCCCTGATACATGAGGCACAAGCTGGGCCAACAACCTACCAGCCGTAACATTAATACTGAGAGGCTTTGCTTTGGAAAATGAGCTACTGACTCAACATTTTTCAACACCAACAAAACTCTTCTGGTTGAGAAAAGAAAACTACGTCCAGTCCCAAAAGTGTTCACATGAACTTCAGGCAAACATGGCAGAATATTCCCTCTGTGTTTTGAACAATTCGGACGCTGCAAAAGTCAGTGGGGTTGGTCGTTCTTTACGCTTTTCCTACGGAGACGAGCTGAGGAGTTCCTGCCTGCGCCGCATGATCTCCACGAACTCTGCGTGGTCGGCAGCCGCCTGCGAGAAAACAGCAGGCTGCAGTTTGAAAAAATAAAAAATGAAAGTAAAAGTAGGAAGGAAGGGGGGAAAGCAACGTGGAGCTCAGTGGGTGCTGCCTTCGTCAAAAGACTCCACCCCTGAATCACAGGTGCTGGCTGCCAGTTTCTCCTGCCGCCTCCTCATGATCTCCTGGAGCTCAGAGCCTGAACTCTTCTGGAGACGCAGAGAGACAAAAAAGACAGAAGGAAAGAAGTCGAGGAAAAAGAGGTAAAGTCGAGGGGGGTTAAGGACAAAGGGAGGAAACAGAGCAGAGAAGCAGACACAAAGCAGCTGGTTAATCGGTGAAGCGCAAATACAAGAATGGAAATCTTCATTTCTTGCTGCCTCTTTAGCGACTGAGCGTCTTTGCCAATGATCTACTGAGCGAGCGTCTCTGCGTCGTCACTCAGAAGATTTTATCAGCAAATTAGACGAGAAAATCTTCTGGTCAATCAGAGTCTAACAGGCTGGCTGCGGTTATATGGACTCCATGTAAACTCAGCCAGTGGCCTGAACAAACCTCGGGAAGCCTTTTGGTGACGGCGCTGCGAGCTGTAGAGAGCATTTGGATGAAAATAATCTACAGTATGAGTCAGCTGGTTGAATCAGGGTGCATGCTGGGAAACATAAGTACCTCTAAAATTGGCCGCACTGCTCTGCTGAGTCAGGACTCATGCGACTTACACAAACAAATTAGCAAAGAAATACGGATGGTTTTAAAATTTAGTTGAAGTAGGATTAGTACGGAGGACAAGAAATGACTCTTTAAAAAAATACATAAATAAAATAAATGCTTAAATAAAAGCAGAAATACATATTTTGAAATTACTAAATGCTGAAATTAAGCGAAATGACTAAATCATTAATACCTTATATTTTGAATGAAAGCATTACTTTTTGTATCATTTATGTATGTATTTATTGACAAATAAGTCACCTTTTGTCCTCCTTGGATTAGTACTCTTTGCAATTGTAATTTTTCTTTGTTGCTCAGTGTTTTTAAGTTTTGAGTTGTTCTTTTTTTTTTTTTTTTTTTTTTTTTATAAATGCAACCAGCTTATTTTGTTAGAGCTTTAAATGCTGATCAGAGATCTCAACATGACTCTTATCAATGACACAAACTACTAGTTTCTACTTACCAACACTGGACCAAGAATGAACAGTTGTGATTTGGCAAACTGCTATTTTAGGTCAAGAATGAAATGTAAGTAAACTGTTCATATCAAAACTACTAAAACAAGAACCAGGTTGTAAAAAGATGAATTTTTTCTTTAAATAACTTTTTCTTTCTCTTTTATAATAGTAAATGTTTTACGTGGTGTGGCCATGTTGAAACAACTAGCACAATTAGCTGACTGCTAAAGCTAAGCTAGCACAAAGAACACATGTTGGTGGTCATAAGATCTCATTCCAGCCAAGACAAGATCCAGATCCTGGTCTTTATGGGGGGGGCGGAGGGCCACAGGTGAGGGACAAAGGGCAACAGGAAGTGGAACGTTCTGAAGCTGGTTCATTCAGGGAGTTTAAGGAAGACTAACTGTACAGCCACAGCAGGATGACAAATACTGGCGCTACCTTAAAATGCTGCTACACATGAAACGTTTGGAGCTTCGTTCTGACGGCCAAATTCAGGAACTGAAACTTTATTCGTATTTATGATAAAAATAAAAAATGTGACCATCAGATATTAATGCAGAGGTGGTTTGTTTTACAAGTCCCAGGTCAAGACTGGTAATTCCAAAGTGGACAAGTTACAAGCCCAGAGCGAATCAAGACCGGAAAGTTTGATAATCCCCAGTCAAGATCAAGTACCAAATGTAGACGAGTCTGTCCCATGTCCCTAGTAAAAACAACTATTAAGTTAAGATTGACTAATTCCAAGTCCTAACTTGGGATTTGCCTGTGCTGATTTGAAATTTGTCAAGACAAAACAGGCAAGTTCCATGTCCAGAATGGATAGTCCCAAGTCAGGTCCCAAGTCAAGACCAACAAGTCTGGTGTCACGCCAGTGGATGTCAAGACATCCCAACTGAAACGTCCAAGTAAAGTCATGAATGACTGGAGCTAAAGTAAAAGTTCATTTGCAAGTCTTTTCTGATGTTTGTCAAGTTGAGTGTAAAGTTATCAGATTCATGACTTGAGTTCACACCTCTGATTTGATCTGCAGCAGGTCTTTATGCACGTTCTATTACTGGAAACATTTTCTGATTGTCACTCTATTCAGAGATCTGAAATTTCGTCTCTTTTATGCCAGAGAAAATCTGCTTGTTCATTACCAAAAACGAGTCTTACATCGCCTTAAAAAAAAGTGACTTGAAATCTGGCCAACAGAACAAAGCCGTGAACATCCGTTAGTGAACACAATACCTTAATGAATGTGGTAACAGATTCAGAAGATCAAAGGAGGGTCAGAAGAAAACCTGCAGGTGGAAATAGACACCACACACCAGACCTTGCCAGAGTTGGGGGATAGAAAGCTTAAAGACAGAAGACCCTCAATAGACCTGCAGCTTCCAGACACAAACACTGCAGCCGACAGATTCCTGAGATAATCACCCGCCGAGCTGACGTGTTAACGGAAATACACAAGAACACCAGCCCTCAAATGACTCATTTGTTTACCGTAGTTAATGGTAAATTAAGGACGACATTACGAAACATGTAGCCTCAGTCACCATTTGAGAAGTCTACTATCCCTGTTCATACAGTGGCTTACAGGAGAATAATAGAAAGTGTATTTTTAGTTCTGAAATTAAAGTCAAAATTCTGGGGGGGGAAAGTCAGAATGCGAAGATAAAAAAAGTCACAATTGTGAGATCAAAGTCACAATTGTGAGATCAAAGTCACAATTCTGAGATCAAAGTCACAATTCTGAGATCAAAGTCACAATTCTGAGATCAAAGTCACAATTCTGAGATCAAAGTCACAATTCTGAGATCAAAGTCAAAAGTCTGAGATCAAAGTCAAAAGTCTGAGATCAAAGTCAAAAGTCTGAGATCAAAGTCAGACTTCTGAGAAAAGTCAGACTTCTGAGATTAAAGTCAGAATTCTAATATCAAAGTCAGAATTCTAATATCAAAGTCAGAATTCTAATATCAAAGTCAGAATTCTAATATCAAAGTCAGAATTCTAATATCAAAGTCAGAATTGTGAGAATTGTGACTAATTTTAGAATTTAGGTTTTTATCTTAGAATTCTGACTTTGATCTCACAATTGTGTTTTTCCTAACAATTGTGACTTTGATCTCAGAATTTTGACTAAACTTAGAATTCAGGTTTTTATCTCAGAATTCTGAGATCAAAGTCACAATTCTGAGATCAAAGTCAGAATTCGGAGATAAAAACCTGAATTCTAAGATCAAAGTCACATTTCTGAGATCAAAGTCACAATTCTGAGATCAAAGTCACAATTCTGAGATTAAAGTCAAAATTCTAATATCAAAGTCACAATTGTGAGAATTGTGACTAATCTTAGAATTCTGACTTCGATCTCAGAATTGTGACTTTGAATTCTGAGATAAAAACCTAAATTCTGAGATAAAAACCTGAATTCTAAGATTAGTCAAAATTCTGAGATCAAAGTCAGAATTCTCAGATCAAAGTCACAATTCTGAGATCAAAGTAATTCTGAGATCAAAGTCAGAATTCTCAGATCAAAGTCACAAGCCTGAGATAAAAACCTGAATTCTGAGATTATAGTCAAAATTCTGAGATCAAAGTCAAGATTCCCAAGATCAAAGTCGTAATTCTGAGATCAAAGTCACAATTCTGAGATAAAAACCTGAATTCTAAGATTAGTGTCAAAATTCTGACATCAAAGTCAGAATTGTGAGATTAAAGTCAGAAGCCTACGATCAAAGTCAGAATTCTGAGATCAAAGTCAGAATTCTGAGATCAAAGTCACAATTCTGAGATCAAAGTCACAATTCTGAGATCAAAGTCACGATTCTAAGATCAAAGTCACGATTCTAAGATCAAAGTCGTAATTCTGAGATAAAAGTCGTAATTCTGAGGTCAAAGTCACAATTCTGAGGTCAAAGTCACAATTCTGAGGTCAAAGTCACAATTCTGAGGTCAAAGTCACAATTCTGAGATCAAAGTCACAATTCTGAGATCAAAGTCAAAATTCTAAGGTCAAAGTCACAATTCTGAGATCAAAGTCAAAATTCTAAGATCAAAATCAAAATTCTGAGATCAAAGTCAAGATTCTGAGATCAAAGTCAAGATTCTGAGATCAAAGTCAAGATTCTGAGATCAAAGTCAAGATTCTGAGATCAAAGTCAGAATTCTGAGATTAAAATCTGAATTCTAAGATTATAGTCAAAATCCTGAGATCAAACTCAGAATTCTAATATCAAAGTAAGAATTGTGAGAATTGTGACTATAATCTTAGAATTCAGGTTTTTATCTTAGAATTTTGACTTTGATCTCAGGATTCAGGTTTTTGTCTCTGAGAGAAAGTAAAAATTTTGAGATCAATGTCAACAATTCTGAGATCAAAGTCAGAATTCTGAGATAAAAACCTGAATTCTGAGATACTAACCTGAATTCTAAGATCAAAGTCACATTTCTGAGATCAAAGTCACATTTCTGAGATCAAAGTCACAATTCTGAGATAAAAACCTGAATTCTAAGATTATAATAAAAATTCTGAGATCAAAGTCGTAATTTTGAGATCAAAGTCATTCTTCTGAGATCAAAGTCACAATTCTGAGATCAAAGTCGTAATTTTGAGATCAAAGTCATTCTTCTGAGATCAAAGTCACAATTCTGAGATAAAAACCTGAATTCTAAAATTAGTCAAAATTCTGAGATCAAAGTCAGAATTGTGAGAAAAAACAATTGTGAGATCCAAGTCAGAATTCTGAGATCAAAGTCAAAATTCTAAGATAAAAACCTGAATTCTAAGATTATAGTCACAATTCTCACAATTCTGACTTTGATCTCAGAATTTTAACTAATCTTAGAATTCAGGTTTTTATCTCAGAATTCTGAGATCAAAGTCACAATTCTGAGATCAAAGTCAAAATTCTGAGATCAAAGTCAGAATTGTGAGAATTGTGACTATAATCTTAGAATTCAGGTTTTTGTCTCAGAATTCTGAGATCAAAGTCACAATTCTGAGATAAAAACCTGAATTCTAAGATTAGTGAAAATTCTGAGATCAAAGTCAC